AACTCTCTGTCCCTCTCAATTCCTCTGTGTAAGATCAATAAAAAAAAATATATTAAAAAAAAAAGATTAGTGTAATGTGGAGGCTGATACCTGGTCCAATGACCTCACGATATTTTATGAGTATTATGTAAATTTTAAAAACATCCAAATTAGTGATAATCCTGACATTCCAACAACTATAAATTTTAATGGAAAAAAGGAATATTGAGCAGCAGTTAACAATAAGAATTTTCTATGACAAATGTATTTGTATGTCACACCTATAAACTCCCTGCCACTTTTCCCTATTTCTCCCTCTGCTAACAACAATTGGAGCTATAAATAAATTAGATTCACATAAGTAGTCAGTGTCCCCGGTACCCATCAGATGTGACATGGTTACAGAGGTGTACTTTTTCCTACTTTCCAATGATTGAAGGAAGTACTCCAAAATCGACTTCAATCTTTTTTCTTTACTGGTCTGAGTTAAAAAATTAGGTATTTATGGTAACAATGTAAATTATTCCAAAATTTTGCTTTAACATATTCTAAGACAAGCATGTCAAACTCGCGGCTCATGGGCTGCATGTGGCCCACAAAGAATATTTTCGCAGCCCAGCCAATACAACAGCATGTAAGAAACGTTTGAATAAAAATTTCATAACTTTTTACAATATCCTGTTATACATATTAATAACGCACTACAACATTCGGTAATGACTGATCACTATAATCATGTTGCATTCATTTCCCTTATGCACCTTACACGCAGGCACACCATTTCTCTCCACTAATACTAGCAGCAAATACTTTAGTAGCCAATTGCCACATCATTAATCTTGTACTGACTTGTTTGTATGCTCAAGAGGAAATATTTTGCTTTCAGAGAACAAGAAAAATAGGTTTATTTGTGTTACACTTAATTTGTGCAGGTATTGATTGGCAAGTTAATGTTCAAGAAAGAATATTAACTTTTATTAAAATGTTCTATTATGTTAATGATTGCTCATTTTAGCCCTTTGTATTCAGTATATCTCTATCCAAATAAACCTGTTTCTATGAAAATTGAAGCTTTTGTTTTTTTGCGGCCCACATAAACTTAAACCTTATTTGGCCTGTGTTAGCCTTTGAGTTTGACATGCTTGTTCTAAGATGAAACAGTACTAAAATTTTCTTTTAATTCCTTACCCAAGGATATGTTTTTCATTGATTCTAGAGCGAGAGGGAGGAAGAGAAATGCTGGCGTGAGGAACATCAATAAATTGCCTCCCACACATGCCCTGGGGACCAAACCCAGAACGTGGGTACATGCCCTTACCAGGCATTGAATCTGCGACCCACCCAGGCACAGACAACACTGCAAGCACCAGGCAACACCAGCCAGGGCAATACTATTTCATTTTTTAAATAGCACAAGATTGTTTGGAATTACTAGTTATTAGCTAGTAAAGCTGAGATTTACACATACACCTGACTGAATCCAAAGCTCTTTCCACCATGTCAAGTGTTTAAAAATCAGCCGAAACCGGTTTGGCTCAATGGATAGAGCATCGGCTTGGGGACTGAAAGGTCCCGGGTTCGATTCCGGTCAAGGGCATGTACCTTGGTTGCGGGCATATCCCCAGTAGGAGGTGTGCAAGAGGCAGCTGATTGATGACTCTCTCATCGATGTTTCTAACTCTCTATCTCTCTCCCTTCCTCTCTGTACAAAATCAATAAAATATATATTAAAAAAAAAATCAGTACCCTAAATCTTAGCTCTATGGACCCCATGAAAGTTTGATTCAAATTGTGTGCTAAAATGCATAAAGGTTACAAAAACAATACACTTAGACACATGCACAACTGCAAAACACTGGAGAGCACTAGTGGTCGACTTACACTGCCAAGTGACCTCATTTTTGTGTGGAGCTTTTCCTGCCCTGTACTTGTGTTCGATATTCTTTAGGACAGAACATATTCACTCACATAAAATAGTATAGTACCAAAGCACCGGCTTAGCACATTATAAAAGCAAGTGCAGACAAGGTGCATCTGCTCAGCAGTACTCTAAAACGCATGCAATAACCAATGAGGGGTCATGCTGTCGTACAGAGGCCTATTTTGAGTACTTTCTTTTGAGGTGGGGTCAACTCTATGAGTAATATAAAATACACATTTATCTATTTTATGCATTGGTACCTCACATTTTTTTCAATGGAGAAAAATTTGCCACTAATACCACAGCACTATTAATGTTACCTGGGAATAAAAGATTCTTGGGAATTAAGCCCTGATCAATTTTTAAAAATCTGTTTTTGAAGAATGCAAAATAAGTTCTTTTGCATATCAGTATGTGAAAATCTTTTACATACTTATCAGGTATAGTTAGAATTTATTATAGGGAGTCAACTGGCTGCTTGGGCAATAAGTCCCATTAAAGGGCAAGTGATTTAGCAACAGTAAGTCCTAACTAGATATGGGGGTGAGGTTGTGGCATTAGAGAAAAAAAATAAAAAAAATAAAAATCAAGAAACACATTTCCCGCCGAAACCGGTTTGGCTCAGTGGATAGAGCGTCGGCTTGGGGACTGAAGGGTCCCAGGTTCGATTCCGGTCGAGGGCATGTACCTTGGTTGCGGGCACATCCCCAGTAGGGGGTGTGCAAGAGGCAGCTGATCGATGACTCTCTCTCATTGATGTTTCTAACTCTCTATCCCTCTCTTCCTCTCTGTGAAAAATCAATAAAATATATTAAGAAAAGAAAAAAGAAAAAAAAAGAAACACATTTCCCAAGGATAACCAAGTATTTTAAGCCTAAAATATAGACTCATAGGTGACTTACGCAATTTCATGCAAATAAACCATCACACTGATACCAGGGGAAAAGTCCTCAATTAAGAATTGGCAATAAACAATAATCAACACTAAATTGGGTTAAGAGCTCTATTCTGTATGAGGCTTGGAATGTTGAACAGTTAATAATTTACAAATCTACCCAAACTGGTTTGGCTCAATGGATAGAGCATCGGCTTGGGGACTGAAAGGTCCCGGGTTCAATTCCAGTCAAGGGCATATACCTTGGTTGCGGGCATATCCCCAGTAGGGGGTGTGCAAGAGGCAGCTGATTGATGACTCTCTCTCATCGATGTTTCTAACTCTCTATCTCTCTCCCTTCCTCTCTGTACAAAATCAATAAAATATATTTTAATAATAATTTACAAATCTTAGCTTTCTCATATATAAAATGAAGATAGACTTTATCCAATCTGTTGTAAGGATCAAATAAAGTAGACTATCGAAATGGACTTGTATCCAAACAAAACTTCAAGAAAAATTGAGTGTGAGGAAGGGAAAGTAAATCTTTCTTTTCTATTCCCATTCTCTCAGACCTACAAGGACAAAGTACAGACCCTACTAGCTGGTTATTACTCAGAGCAGAATCTACTTATATTGTTCATTTCTTCAAAATAGTCCCTTCTTTCTCTTCAGCCTTTAAAAATGAAAATGTAGTAAATTTTTGTGACCTAGATGTTTACTGAAATGTAAGCAGTAAAAAGCTTGGATAACTTACCTCAAAAAAGCTTACACCTAATAAACTTTAGAAAACTTGTAATAAAATTTAATAAGATAGATTTATATGACCTGACTATAGATTCTATAATCAGGTCATATAAATGTTTTTATTTTGAATTTATTACTTTGTAATCTGGTCACTTTGTAAGCATGGGGCAGCAATATGACACTCCATACCATTTGCCTAAGAAAAAGATCACTCTGTTTAAATAGCACTCAAAAATCCTTTCCAAAATGAAAGTCAAGAAATTTAGTTATACACAGAATAAAATAGGAAAATAAATATTTCATCCTATACCCAATCCTTTGGGACAGCAGCTCTCGTATGCACATGATCTCTGTTGAATATGCACATTCAAGATTCAGAGAGACCACACACATACAACTTGGAACATCACAGAAAAGACTGCTTATCAGCCAGCTTTCATCTTTGCAACCAAAGATTTTCACGAGCAAGATATGACTAATGGATAGTAACTGTTAATTAGACTTGCTCTGTATTCTGTTTATATGAAAAAGTGAAGGACAACCCACAAGGCTATTATATTCTATGGGAAACACATGGTCTTAGCTTGAAGAAAATTTGGTTCTCTGGATATTTTCTTTCTATAAGACTCAGTGAGTGTTGGACAATGGGAATCATGACTATTTCAAATCAGCCAGGATTATATTTTTAAGCAAGATAATACAGCCTAATGGATTAATAAATATCTACTTTGCTTTTTTTTTTTTTTTATATGAATACTCTCCTAGAAAGTTCTATAGCTGCTCTTCATTTGGCTTTGAAGTATTGGCATGTGGAATTATTTTTTTATGGAGGACAAACAACAACTGTAAAAATCTATCATTCTGTGAGCACTGCACAGGGAAAATACTGGGAAGTAAAAAGCAGCAAGTCCAATTCTCATACTGATTTAAACACAGGCTTACTACAAATCCTCTACCCACTGAAAGCGCCTCTTACCTAGTTACATGTGTTAGTAGACGGGTTGACCAAATCTAGGTTGGAAAAATGATCTAATATTTTACATCTCAATGAAATATTATTTTTATCTGTATCTCAAGCCGATGTTTACAGCTAAGAAAAAGCACAGGTTTAATTTAGAAGCCACCAAATGTTTATGCAAATGATCTTATGCTACAAAGCTACTACCTTGAAACATTGTTAGCATTATTTTTTTACCCACTTATCATAAAAAACTAGTTCTCAGATTCTGCATACAGACAGCTTTATGTAAAATATATAAACATTTGTCCAAATTGGTACACAGATTGCATAAATATGGCAATTAAGACCATTTACAGATGTGCATGTACAATGTTATGCAAATTGTCACAAAATTACAATTTCAAAAATTATTCAAATTGGAATCAAAGTAAAATAATTAGTGAAAAAATACCCATGCAGAATTTAAATGTCTCAGAACAAAATTTAAAATGTCTCAGTAAAAGTTCACACATTTAAAATAGTTTTATTCATTTTATTTGTATATGTCAAAATACATTTTTATTTCCAAAATAGTGGGTTTTGCAACTAGTTTCATGCAGAAACAAGGTCTGCTCAATACTACCAATAAAATCAATATAGCACAGTAGCTGTTCAGTTTTAGATACAAAGAATAAATAACCTAAATACAAAACACTAAAATATTAGAAACATGTATTTAATCATTCTTCACAGGCATCCAAACTTCACAAATATAGTCCTTAGCATGCCTAACTGTTGTGCAACCAGAACATGTTGCAGTCACTCAAACTGATCAATTATCTGGATATTTTATGTCCATATAAGACCATGGAAATTCTCTATATTCAGACCCACCATTCATACAGTTCAAATATAACCAAAAATAAAATTCCCACATCTATCCTTGTACCTTTAAAAATCAAGAATCCTGAGCATGGTAGTAAGAGCATAACCTTCTATCTTCATAAAACCAATCGAGAGAGAGGACTTGAAATCCAGCTTACCAAAACACCTTTTCCCAACCCCAAAGTAATCTAAAATAGGCAGTAGAACACAATGACCTTTTAAAATGAAGGGGTACAAATTCACATTTGATATAGTATACAATACAATCAATATTACAATTAGCTACTATAAGCTTTACAATGTACAATTTATTCTAATGGCTGAACTGTTCAGTGGTTAAGGAGACAGTTATGTGCCCAAAAGATGTAATATTTTTGCATGGTTTAATGAAAATATAAAAGCTATTTTTGTCCAAATAAAAGCCATCTCCATTATGTACTTGGTTTTGCTTTTTTTTTTTTTTTTTTTTAAAGGCCACTGAAATGTATAAAATGGTCTGAACATCATGGTGGTATAGAAATCAATGCCTCTTCACATGGCAATAACAGTGCATTTTAACATTAACTCACGGTTAAGTCTGCAAATGATTTCATAGCATTACTTTGGCTAGCACAACAGTTTTAGACAGCACTCAGATAAATATCGGTATGTGAAATGTGAAGCATTACCTACACAACTTTAATTATGGTTGAATACTATCAAATAAGAACTGAAAATAAGTAAAAGCACTTTACAGTAGAAAACTTTTATAAAGATAGGACTCCACATAATGTGTTACTTTTAAAGTTTTTATATCACATTGTTAGCAAATTCAGTTTTTAACACTATGATGGAGTAGCCTACTTCTCATTAACAGACATTTGAAATAAGAAAATAGTCAAGCATGCCATATGGTGTTCTAAAAATCAAAACAATACACTTATTTATATATACAGCATCACTTAGTACCTGCTAAAATGAATGTGAAGATTATAGAATCTAACATCTTGTTCTACAATAATAAAAAACAAACAAAAACAAAAAAGTGACCAATGAAGGCAGAAAACAGGACTTAAAAAGAACCTAACCTCAACTGACTTTAAAGCATTCATATAAGAAATAAATGCAATATTGCACAAATAGTGAAAGCAAATGTTCCACCAAGCAATTCAGTTCCAGGTGGGACACAACACAGCATTCGCCTAATACATGAGTCTAATACATGACAATGACCTCAGAAGAGCAAGTGTTCTTTTCTGTAAATGAAAAAGCCGTGAAAACACAGAAAAGTCTGCCACATGAAGTGTTATAAGGAAAAACATACAAACCCAAACTTAGATGTAAAGCAAAAAAAATTTAAATATCGAAAAACTGGAAACAGTGGCACATCAAAATGTTGAATAACTGTCTTCTGTGAGAGCTGCAAGTTTTTGTTGACACAAAAGTATTTATGTACAACTAAGGCTTACTGGTTAAATATCTGAGGCATATCTGGCCTTGAACACTTTCCTTATATGCTGGAGCTGTAAACAAGTTTTCTCAGTCTTTAAAAAAAAATCTTCTCAGCAGCTGCATTAACATGAAACAATGGTCTTGATACAAGGAAAAAAAAAAACCAAAACAAAACCAAAAAAAAAAAAACAACCCAGAAAATTTAAACAAAACTCCAAGATAAGAGGGCATTTGGCAGGATATCCGGAAATGACAGTCTGCAAGGACTCTTCCCAGGTTTCCAGTGACTGTCAATTATGGTCCACTGGGTTACTAATATGTGCAATTCCATTATTTGCTGCTTTTTATTTTATTTGGAAAGTTTGCTTATAACTCTGATCAAGGCCCCATTTTCGTCCTTTAGCCTCTGGTTGTCTGCTTTTAGGTCTGGTAACATCTACAAGGGGAAAAATGAAGAAAACGTTTTGCTTCAGCAAAAATATAAAATATTATTCTTAATAAATGTTATATTTTCACCACAAGACACATGAACAAGCTTTGTCAGTTATATATTTTTCTAGTGGCTAAAACATATAGCAGGAGGAAAAAAAACTAACCCCCAACTTGTGATGCTCATTAGTTTAATAAATGATGGAATGAACAGTTTATTCTCCCAAAGTTATCAGTTGAAATGTACTAAATCACTTGATAAAATGACCCACAAGCACACATATTAGAACAGCCAAGAAAAGGAAGCCTGTTTTTGTTAGGCTAAAATGGAGCTGAAAGGGAGCTCCTTTAAGAGTTCCTGTCCGTACTAAATCAGGGCTTTTTGCTCAATTTACTTCAGACCTCAAACCATAACACTTACATATTTCCTCCCAAAATCATCATATTTGGGAAAGTTTTGAGGGAGTTAGACTTGTTCTAAATTATTAAAATTCTTTAAAGGATTCACCTATGGTACTAAGTTTAAGTGACTAGTACAATGTCAGAAACTAGGTGCTCATTAAATGACAACAAAGCAATTATTACTATTATGAGATAGAATAAAATAACTTATCAGCAAAAGTAGTAAGCCTGTATTTATAAAAATGTTCAAGAATAGAAAAAATAACCAGTTATTTGGAGCAAACAGAGAAACACACCCTCACATTCTCAAAATAAAGCAAATCCATTTTCTGTTTTACAAACTGAACGAGGGGGTGAAAATATTATAAGTGACATGGATTTTCCACCAAGTAGAATGATTTAAATTACATGTGCTCTGCTAGATTTGCTAGGAAATGGAACAGCTTATATTTTGGACATTAAAGCATACTTTTCAAGATATTTAGCAAAATATAGGTGAAAAGTTAATTTTATGTGGACCCAACCAATTCTTACCTGTGTTTGAAATGTATGGATATACTAAAATACAGTAATCTGAAGTTTATGTATGAAGTTTATGTATTAAGAGAACTAAGTGAATATTAAGATGGCCCTGACTGAAAGTGACATTAATCTTCAGCTTCAACATATATTGTGTACAACACATTCATTACGTTATGTTCCATTTTCTTTCTAGTTAAGAATTTGAAATATAACAGCCATATTTTTAAGCCCTAAAATATTTGTAGAGCCAAAATGTGTACAAGCTTTGTGAAAGTGCAGACAAGTCTTTTACTTAAATTCCAAAAATCATTCCCTAAGTTTACTGTAGTTTAAATATAGAATTAGTGACACTTTCTAACATTCTGAGAAGCCATGCATAATTAAGGTTATATGATAAGCTCCAGACAAAATGGCATTAATTTGTAAAAGTGAACTCAAGACACGCTTACTAATACAAAAACACCTGCCTGGCTCTACCAAGAAGAAATGATGAAACTATAAATTATAGGTTCACAGACTGCAGTTTCCTACACAACCCTGAGCGCTTGGCTACCACTCTTGTCAAGGCCCTATTCTCAGTCAGCAGTCGTTCATTTAACTCTCTCAGAGTTTGAATTTGCTTTATTTGATGCAGGTTCTGCAGGAATCAGAACATAAAGAAATAAAAATAAAAAATAAGAAAATGGAAAAGAGTACAATAAAAACATAAAGAATCACAGACAATGAATATAAGAAAAATTTAATTCTTAAAAAATATTCCATGAGATCTACAAAGATATACAGTATAGTTCTAAAAGTCCATATCAAACAAAATGTAATACATAAGCAAATAAAATCCAAAAAATTTTTCTACACAGGCACTCAATAACAATGTTCCAAGAAGTAACCAAATAATTTACTAAAACATCTTGAAATTCTAGTTCTATGGGCCCAATTTCCTATTCATTACTTTTAATTCATAGCATGAAAGAGATATTTTATGCAAGACAATGTGATAAGAGTTAATTAACAATGCTGTTTTTTCTTTTTTTGCAAGGAGTGTTCCTTCCTACATTCAAAACAAATAGTTATTTCCACAGGAAATGCAGAATTTGATAAAATACAGCTCTTAACATCAAAAGTTCCACAAAAATTGATTCACAAAAACATGTGTGTCAAGTACTTTCTAGCCCACCTAAGACCTATTTTAGGAAGAAAGAGAAGCTTGGATATAGGTAAATACAAATTGCATAAACAGCCTTGAGAATAATTACTGTGAACATAACACTTATAACAGTACTGTAAAATTTAGTTTCTAAACAGCACTATGTCTCATAAGTAGCATGGTTTATACTTACTTTGAGCTCTTCTTCCATTTCAGATATTCTTCTTTCTAGAGCTCTTCGTTCCTAGATTAATTTAAAGTAACAATATTAAGTATATAATAATTATATTCTTACATTCTCTTCTAAATTGTGAAATAGTGCCACTTGAGAATCAAAAATCAAATCAGGAGCAGTGTAGAAAAAGATGTGATGCCAGTGATGTGTAAAAAGAGCTTTCTAAAATTTGAGAGAAAGAAATATGAAAGTCATTATTTGCATTACTTTCTGTAAGCTCTTTTTTTTTTTTTTTTTTTTTTTTTTAAAGCTTTGACTTTCTGGTAAGATGCTACATAACATTTTAGCTCATATAAAACGCAAGGATAGAGTAAACTAATACGGAAGACTTAGGATTGTATAGGAAAAACAAAAACAAAAAACTCACACAAAGATGCAATTATTCTACAGTGATAGAAGCAGAAAAGCCAGAAGCAAACGTGCCTAAAATATCTGTACTTTAAAATTTCAATAGGATCTATGAGAGGTTCATCTCTTCCATCAAATTAATTACTATCCATTATTTACTCAACTGACTTCATAGCTTATTCAGTTGATACTGTATAGCATTAATGCAGTGAACCTAATGAAGAAGCAACTGCAGCATTTAGGTTAAATTACCTTATTTCAAAAAGTGACAGGCAAAGGCAACATACATTTTTGCAGTGTACTGTTTTATTCTCCCTCAAATAATAAGCATTCTAAGGTGTTATGCAAAAAAGCAAGCAGCAATAATTAATGTGCTATAAAACTTTGGTTAGGTCATACCGCCCAGAAGATACTGACTCTTGCCGGTCACCTTTCAGATACAAACCATTTAAATTTAGTTTAATCATACCGAAACTGCTTCCAAGACATTCTTTCCCAGATTAATAATTAATGTTCATATTTAGTGAAGCCATACATTTACTGTAAATGTTAATATTTTTAAGGGTATGTAATTAAAAAATAGATGGAATCTTACTAGTTTGATAAGTACCATGTTATTCTATTATCAGCATGTTATTTTCTAGAAACAGACATTTCTCTACTTAATAATACAGTCATGACAAATTTATAAAAAACAATGCACTTCTCAAAATACTAGGACATATGTCATATTTAATTCTCATAAATTTTTGAAATATCAGAAATAGCATAAAAGTATATTTTCTCCTACTGATAAGTAATTTTCTCACCACCTCAATTTTATTAGGTGACCTCAAGATTTTAACTACTTGGTGATAAAGACAAGAACACCATACTAATTGCCTTGTTGCCAAACTGACGACCATATAGTTACAGGAAATTCCTGATGTCTGACAAATAAACTCACTAACATTAAAATATATGTTATGAGAAAATGCATGTAAAGTGCTTACCCCAGAATCTGCACTTAAGAAAGTGCTGAAGGAATATTAGTAGTTATTATTAATACTATGACTATTAATGTCTGTTAAATTGAGAGTGAATTAGCTACTTTGTAACTTATTTGCATTTGACAGACAGAAGAGGTCAGGTGAAAATGTCAGAAAACAAAAATATGTTATCGTGTGCCTAAGCTTAGGAAAAACAAAGGATAAACATAAAAATATCAGTTCTCTCTCATGATAGGTTGATAGATGATTTTATTTTGCTAATTTTTTTGTTTTATATATATATATATATATATATATATATATATATATATATATATATATATAAATAAATACATTTCATTAATTTTTTACAGAGAGGAAGGGAGAGGGACAGAGAGCTAGAAACACTGATGAGAGAGAAACATCAATCAGCTGCCTCCTGCACACCCCTACCAGGAATGTGCCCGCAACCAAGGTACATGCCCTTGACTGGAATCGAACCTGGGACCTTTCAGTCCGCAGGCCAACGCTCTATCCACTGAGCCAAATAGGTACCAGCAGATAAATATATATTTTTGATTAAATTATCTGCCTTTTCATCTCAACCATAATATGGATAACAGAAAAGTGAGTGGTTTTTATTTCTGTTAGATATAAAATTCAATAATAATTCTATTGTGAAAGAATATAATAACTAATATTAAATTTAATAAAATAACCGATTCAAATTTTAGCAGTTATACAATAGTTTACATACACACACACACACATACACACTTTTTTATTGACTGATTTGAGAGAGAGAGAGAGAGAGAGAGAAACATTGCTTTATTGTTCCACATATTTGTGTAATCACTGGTTGATTCTTGTATGTGACCTGACCAGGGATCAAACCTGCAACCTTAGTGTAACGGGATGATGCTCTAGTCTAACCAAATAAATCACTTGTCCAGGGCACCAAATTTTTTAAAATGGTCTAGATTGAACAACCCTCGTTGGTTTGGCTCTGTAGCTAGATCATCATCCTACAGACTGAAGGGTCCTGATTTCTATTCTGGTCAAGGGCATACCCCTCAGTTGCAGGCTCAATCCCCTACTTTGGTCATCTCCTGCCCTGGTCGGGTTGTGTGCGGGAGGCAACCAATCAATGTGTCTCCCTCACATTGATGTTTCTTTCTCTCTGTCTCTCTCACTCCCTTCCACTCTCTCTAAAATCAATGGAGAAATATTCTTGAGTGAGGATTAACAACAACACCACAATGGACTAGACCATAATTTTTAAAACTGCTGCAAGCATAATAAAACAAGTAGTTATTTCAAGATACAATTTAGTAAATGGCATAGACATTAACAGACTTTGTTTATTTATGTACTCTGTATTTTAGTATAATCTCTCTTTTTTTAGTCAGAATGGTAAATTGGCTATTTTTAAAATGGAATGAGAGAAAATGTTTTTATATCAACTGCTTCTAATTATTTATTCTTTGATCTAGAGATCATAGATACAAGGATATAATTTCTTCTCTGCTTGAAACCTTATAAATCACAACTCACTTGTATTATAGACACTCTTAGAGCACTTGTCCCTTAACTTTTGATCATTTATACATTATCAACTGTTCAGACTAAACTTGTAGTTATTCCTATGACTCGGAACAATAAAAATAATAAGCAGAGAGAAATGAAAATATCATAGACAGATAAAAAATTATAGAAAGACATAAAATGGCAAAAGAATTTCTTTATAATCATTTTTTTGTTTAAAATATTTTACTTAAGTTAATATTTAAATTAAAATAAAATTAAGTATTATTATATTAACTTTTAAAAGAATTTGAAAATGATACTCACTGAAGCTTTAAAAAATTTATTTTAAGAATGAAAGTATTTTAATTTTGCAAAGAATTCAACTAAATGTATACATGATTACAATGTTTTTAGTATATTACTATCAAAAATCAAAGAGATAAATGGCATCTCAAAAATATCAGATTCACTATCGTAATGTGTGTTTACATTTCAGAATTAAGGCAAGATATTTTTAATCAATTAAAATAATGATATGACAAATTAAGTCTTATTTAATAAGACAATTTCACACCTACAGATACCCCACAGACACCCAAAGAAAGTAAGCTAGAAAACATTCTAATTAAATTAATGAGTATTAATTTAAACTTATTAAAACTACCATCCACAAAAACTAAAGAAAAAAAGACTGTTGCTTACACAAAACAATAAAGTAGGAAAACGATCTATAATAATAAAAACATAATATGCTAATTAGACCAGACGTCCTTCCAGACAACCTTCTGGACGAAATCAGGGCTGTGAGGGAAGCCTGTGTCCCTGGTGCCAGAGGGAAGCTGGTACCAGCAGCTGGGGAAAGGAAGGCCTATTCTTGCATGGATCCCATGCATCGGGCCTCTATTATTCAATAAAATGGACACTTACCCTTTTTTCCATTTCCAATAGTGACCTATCAGTATATCTTTCTTGTCTCTGCAAGAAGAGTGAGAAATATATAAGGCATATAAATGTAATGAAAAATAAAGAGGGTGTGTGTGTCATTTCAGTTGTTTATTGTTATAAATCAAATTCAGAATTTCTATCATGATGAAACTGTTTCAGCTAATCCTTATTTCTTTCTGAAATTTAAATTCATATTTTAATTGCTAGAAATTTAAAACAAAGGCTAATATAACAGTTGATAACATAAAATGAAACCTAAAAAAGCTTAAAAGATTGAAGAATTAAATTACATTCAAAAGCACCTGGAATAAATCAGAACTAGATGGAACAATGCCATCCAGTAGACATTACATAAGTCTTAGATAGAAAATTAGTATTTTATTGGGGATTTTTTCCCATATAACATTTTAGAAATGTTATGATTAATTTACCAATTTCTTAGGTTAAAAATCAACTTTTGTTAATATTTCTGATAAACATTCCAGATGCTTTATTAAAATCAAAATTAGTACATGTGGTAAATTGACATTTGATAAAATTTATCAAACCAGTTTCTGATAAGTTAGCCTATTTCCTTCCCTTGGAGACTGTATATGGAAGAAAGTGGCTAGGCTAAGGCAGAATTCAAAGACTTTAGAGTCCATGGGCTACATACTATCAAATACACCTAAATTTCAAGATTCTTAACAGAATAATAGTTACCAAATCTCTAGACCTAAAGCTATTTTCAGAAAACTAGTTATGATATTTTAACATACAGAGACTCACTAAGACTAAGCTACTAATGCAACCTGAAGAATGATGGCATTCTAGTTTACTATGAAGCTAGGATAAGCCAGCAAGTTTTAACTTGTATAACATTCTAAGTTGTTGACACAACACTATGAAATGTGTTTGTTTACTTCTGTGTATCTTTCCCCCTGCCCCCACTTTTTAATTAAAAATATACATATATATTTTTATTGATTTCAGAGAGAGAAACATCAATGATGAAAGAGAATTAATGATCAGCTGCCACCTGCATGCCCCACAGTAGGGATTAAGCTCGGACTTGTGCCCTGAGAGGGAATTGAACTATGACCTTCTGGTTCATAGGTCAACTTTCAACCCTGAGCCACACTGGCTGGGCTCCCTCCCATTTTTATGAGACTGACGCGCTACCTACTGCGCTAACGAGGCACCTCCTCCCATTTTTAAAAATTAAATTTATTGGGCTGATATTGGTTAATAACATTATGTTAATTTCAAGCCTACAATTCTATAATACATCACCTGAAATCGTGTCTCCGCCCGTTAGCATTTTTTGACCCCATTTACTTCTGGTAAGCACCATACTGATTTGTGTCTAAAGTTTGTTTGTTTGCTTTGTTTGCTCTGTGTATCTTTATAGTAAAATCTCATTAATTAATGAAATCTGAAGAGCCTTCATAACCTTATAAGGTTAGCTTGGATCCTAGAATTTTAATGCAGCTTGCGTTTTGCATGGACAATTGCTTTACAACATAATAATGGCTAGCAACAACAATAAAAAGTGGTAACAAGTATAAGTTCAACACAGAAAATAAACTTTAAAAATTATGAAAAAAGATGAGTGAAAAAAGCAACCAAAGAAAGTATGCAGTATCATTTATTGAACTGGAGATATTTTAATTAGTGCTTTCCAACTGGATTCTAAGAGTTGTATTGAGAAATGTGCTTATGTTAAAAAAAATCCCATGTGAAATTTAAGCAAGTTTATTTTCTTAACAATGACAGGATCCCTTAGAGCTTTTGACATATAAATAGTAAAAGCTCTGAGATGTAGAATATATAGTATTTCCCAAGTTTCTTGGGTCACAAGCTTTTTTTTTAAGTGGGGGCAGGAGGAGGAGGAGAAAGGAACGTGCCTATTACTGTCCCCCAGGACTAGTGTTCTGAAAAAGAGCTTGGGAAACAGATCCTAAGCCTTACACATCTTAGAACAAATGAACAGGGTTTTTAATTCTCCTTGGCTATCCCAATTTTCTTGTCTAAAATACTCTCCTCTAGGCTACTGCAAAGAAGGCAAAATGAGTTATAACTACAATTATCTTCTTCCAGTATTACTATATCAAATCACCATTTTTTGAATAGGAAATATTTATATCAAATAAAAATTAGTATAAAGAAATGTTATAACTTTTAGGAGATTCTGTACAGATGCTTTCAATGACTTGCCACATTTGGCATTCTGGAAATAAACACTTAAATCCTTCATATACCACAACATAAGTATTAGAAGGCTTAAAAATATTTAGACTTTCCATTATGAGGCTATACGTCTATATTTTTAATTCACTTTAAAAAAAAGTAGATGAGCCAAAACCGGTTTGGCTCAATGGATAGAGCGTCGGTTTGGGGACTGAAGGGTCCCGGGTTTGATTCTGGTCAAGGGCATGTGCCTTGATTGCGGGCACATCCCCAGTAGGGGGTATGCAGGAGGCAGCTGATCGGTGACTCTCTCTCATCGATGTTTCTAACTCTCTATCTCTCTTCCTCCCTCTCTGTACAAAATCAATAAAATATATTAAAAAAAAAGTGGTGAAATGATCATTAAGCTGTATTATATTGATTCTTTCTAATAAATAAGCTATTATCAGTAACTAAACTTATGTTTAGAACACTAGAGAACATTGCAATGCAATCTTTTGGATAGAATAAATCACAATCACTGCCTTTAGAGTAACAAAAGGAAAAAGGTTCACACCTGGGTAGCCTTTTCCAACTGCAATTTCAGATCTGTCAGTTCCATGTTTGTATCGTGTAGCTGTGCTTTCAGCTTTTCGTTTTCAGCTAGAATCTGTTCATAAAGCTATAAAAATAAGGGAAGAAGAAAAAAATTACTTTTGTGCCCCAATAGTTTAGTAAGATTTCCTATTGATTACTTCACAATATTAAAACTGATATAGAAAGATTAAGGTAACATGAGGTATTAAAGGATACATTAAAATATATTATAATGCTTTGTGGTTGCAATGCAGAGTTTTGATTACACAGGTATACTTGTCCTACATAAACTCTTAGAAACTAGCATCAGTATTTAAAATAAAAGACGTCACTAAAAAAATCTGACTTTTGAGTTTTATTAAACAAAAATTCAGTTTTCTGATAAAAAGGGACAGTAACTGCACAGTAACAATAGCTGGAACTCCGGAAACACTGTGATTTTTATTTGTGGTCTAGGAGCTTTTCTGCTATAATGCTCTCTTCAATTCCTGACAATGAGAACTATCAGTTGCATTTATCATTATATTTGTATTATTTTTACTAAAGTTAAAAGGCAAGTGAAATATTTCTTGAACACCCTCATAATGCCTGAATTTACTACTTCTTTTTTCTCTCATCTCTATTACTACCACGATAAATGGCGATACTATTTTTAGCTAAACTATTCTAACTGCTAGACTTACTCTCCTGACCTCCATATAATTTCTTTTGTATGTAGCAGCAAGTTAGCTTTTCAAAATGACAATCTCAATTTTCATAAAACAACCATTCCATTAATACCTCCACTTCATACATTAAAAAACCCCTAATGGCATCCCAATGTTCTCAGTATAAGGATATCCCTAATGAAAATTTAATTGCTTCAATGCATCAGGTACCCTTCCATCATCAGGTCTATGTGCCTGAAGTTCACTCTCTCTGGAACAATTTTTTCTCTCCCATTTTTGCCAGTTAACTACTAATCATCTTTCTGTCCTTGGCTCCAGCTTCACTTCCTTAGGAAATCCATCCCCAGGTACTGATACTTTCCTTTATACATTCACTTATAAAACTGTTTCCTTACCATATAAAACTTTATATAACTCTGCTACACACTTTATAAAACTGTTTCAGAATACTTGTTTTAAGGTACACATAGATTAGTACAGCGTTTTTCAACCGCTGTTCCGCGGCACACTAGTGTGCCACGAGATGTTGCCTGGTGTGCCGTAGGTGCAGACAAGACAAGAATTTTATAATTTTTCACTATTTTGTTTACTTAATATTTCATAATAAAGTAATTATAAAATACTTTCTTTGTGTTTATTTGATTCCTATTCAAGAGAATTACTTTATATATAGTCAATATAGGCACAGAGTTAAATTTTTTAACATTTTCTAATGGTGGTGTGCCTCGTGATTTTTTTCATGAAACAAGTGTGCCTTTGCCCAAAAAAGGTTGAAAAACACTGGATTAGTATGATTGTAATGTCTGTCTCTCCCAATACATGGAAGATACCCATACAAGCAGGGACAATATCTCCATCTACATTGCCCATGAGTGGAAGTTCACTCCTGTAACACAGTTCAGTGTTCACTTCTTTACTGGAAAAAAAAATAAATAAGAAAAATGACCGAATCTTATTCATAACGAAAACTAACCTTTCTTCCCTTGCTGGTTTGACATTAATAAAGTGGGTAATTCAAATAGCTGCCAAATACCTGGGAACATATACAAATTCCACAAGCCTTCTTTTCCCCCCCAACATACTTATTCCAAGCTCATAATATGAAGAGTTGTGACAGTCAGAATCCTTGATTGTTGACTTTCCATTTATCTCTTAATTAGAGGCCTAGTGCATGAAATTCGTGCATGGGTGTGTGTGTATCCCTCAAGCCAGCCTGCACCCTCTCCAATCTGGAACCCCTCGAGGGATGTCCGACTACCCTATCCCACTGGGATGGGGCCTAAACGAGCAGTTGGACATCCCTCTCACAATCCAGGACTGCTGGCTACCAACTGCTTGCCTGCCTGCCTTCCTGATTGTCCCTAATCGCTTCTGCCTGCCAGCCTGATCATCCCATAACCACTCCCCCGGCAGCCTGATTGATGTCTAACTGCTTCCCTACCAGTTTGTTTGCCCCTAACTGCCCTTCGCTGCAGGCCTGGGTCCCCCCAACTGGCCTTCCCGGCAGGCCCAGTTGCCCCCAACTTCCCTTCTCTGCTGGCCTGGTCACCCCTAACTGTCCTCCCCTACAGGCTTGATCACCCCCAACTGCCCTCCCCTGTTGGCCTGATTGCCCACAACTGCCCTTCCCTGCTGGCCATCTTGTGGTGGCCATCTTGTGTCCCCATGGGAGCAGCCATCTTGTGTGTTAGAGTGATGGTGAATTTGCATGTTAACTCTTTTGTTAGCTAGGATTACTTCCCCCTTAATCATTAACAGTAGTTGAGCTACCATAGTTTTTCACTTACCTAGGAAAAACTATATTCTCCTAGCAAAAGTTGTATTCCTTGGCTGCTTCCTAGTAACAAATAAAGAAGTGTGTGTACATGCTTTTACACACACACACACACACACACACACCCTGCCCCAAAGTCTTTTTTCAGCTAAGTCTCAGTATCACAGTTACTGGTCTGAGACACTTAAATGTAAAATAAAGTCTTGGGCACTTTCCCCTTTCCTTTTAAAAAACAAACAAACAATGAACAGCTATTTATATTCTACTTACCATTAATTGCTCCAAACTAAAAATTAGAGTAAGATATTGATTTCATTATGAGTTTCTAGAAATATCTCAACATACATATCTTAGCAAACAAATTATTTTAAATTAAATTTAACTAAATAACCCAAGTACCTTTTTAAAGTCAGTTGAGTCATCCTTTTCTAGCCTGCTACTGTAAGGTTTTCTTTCTTCTAAGTAACTGTATGATCCAGAACGACCCAGCAAGGAATCATACCGATCACTAGCTGATGTGGAACTGGTTTCATATCTTCAAAAGATGAGTTTAAGTCAAAAACTTTATTATAGGCTTTCACAACTTATATAAACATACATCCTAGTAGAATATATATTACAATAACTTGATAGTCCAAATAGTAGATAACATTCCCCTCATCTGTTATCTAATCAACTTTTATAATATACCAGAGGCCCTGCACAAATTTGTGCATGGGGAGGATCCGTGGCCAGCTGGGGGACGGACTGTGGGGGGTTGGCTGGCAGCGGGAGGTTGGCTGTGTGAATGCACTGACTGCCAGGGGCAACTCCTGCGCTAAGCGTCAGCCTCCTGGTGGTCAGTGCATGTCATAGTAACCAGTTGTTCGGTCTACTAGTCGTAATGGTCACTTAGATAATAAATGGGAAGTTATTTTTAATACTACTAATTTCTATTTTTTGGGGAAAAGATTCAATATTTCTGTAACTAAAAGTCAAAATTGGTTTCACATCATGATAAATTCAAAATTTTTAAATTGTACATTTTTCCCCCACACTTTGGAATCATCTTTGAAATCAGAATATGACTTACAACTGATGATGTATTACAATTTAATTGGTAGCTCTTCTCTTATTTTTGAAGTGGTATATACTATGTTTTAAAATTATAACATTTTTTATTTGATATATTAATGCCAGTCTACCCAAAGTGATGGATAATAGATCCATAAATACGAATTCTCTTCTTATCTGGTTCAGTTCTGAATTCAGGGTACATTTTCTAATAATGCCTCTATATTTCAACTCAATACAATCATCAGTACATAAAAACTTATTCCTGGTTTTACAAGGCTTTGGCTAACGATTATGATAAGAAAAATGGAATAGAGATAATTATATTCAAGGAAGTATTCTAAAAAGACCAATAATTTTGAGCTAGATGACACTTTTTAGTGTTTGCATGGCTTTCTTTTAGTTAAAAGCAAATAAGAGGAGATTCTGAATGCCTAATGAAATAAATTTCTGGTGGGTTTCATCAGCCTCTGTTGTTAATAATGACATAGTCATTGTTGAAGTAACTTAGGAAAATTTAAAAGTTATCATTGTAGTAAAGATCAAGAAAAATTATGAGTTACTAGGACTACAAAATTAAAAGGACTTTGACAAAGAAGAGTTACTAGGTCATCTAAATTATGTATAGATTTTTACTACTCAAAATATTTTATCAACTTACAAAATCCATAAATATCTAGCCACATATTTTTAGGAAGAATGAAAAGGAGAAGGTAGTAAAATAAGAGGTAAAACATACCTAGAAATGGAATCAGTCTAGAAAAAAAAAAGAGAAAAACAGATACTAAATTTTTATGCTTCATTAAAGTAACTTATTGATTAATCAAGTAAATTTAACATAACATGAAATACTGTTTTCATACTATAAACTAACATCTAATTACTGTAACTGCTTTAACTTGAACATGGTTGTCCTTAGAAAGAAGTTCAACAACACAGTCACTGTATATTTTTACATGCACAATATTATATAATTTCATTGGGCAATTTATGGTCAATTTTTGTGAATTCCTACAAATCCCTCCATATATTATTTTTTTTAAAATAGAAAAATAGACCAAGACACTTATCTATTACTATACCCACTCAGCAGAAAAAAATAACATACTTTCATTAAAAAATGTCAAGTTTACTATGTGCAATTTAAAGCAACTACTTTTCTCATTTTTCTATTTTTGAGACAATGACATTAGAAACAAACAAATGAATACCTAAGTATTTTATATATAACAGTATATGCCAGAAGCCAGTTCAAACATGTCATAATTGCAAGAGTTTCATTGAAAGGTTGATGGAACTTGGGGCCGAAACCGGTTTGGCTCAGTGGTAGAGCGTCGGTCTGTGGACTGAAAGGTCCCAGGTTCGATTCTGGTCAAGGGCATGTACATTGGTTGCGGGCACATCCCCAATAGGGAGTGTGCAAGAGGCAGCTGGTCGATGTTTCTCTCTCATTGACGTTTCTAGCTCTCTATCTCTTTCTCTTCCTCCTCTCTGTAAAATATCAATAAAATGTATTTTAAAAAAAAAAAGAAGAAAAAAAAAAAGAAAGGTTGATGGAACTTGTGGACTCAACAAGGGGTGAGTTACTGGGAATGGCTAAAGGCATTTCCCAAACTTGAAAAGGATGACTGTTTGCTGCCAGACAGCTCAGTGCATCTTACTCTGCATGTTATTGCCTCCAGTTGGCCAAACACCTGAACAACTGGATTTAATTCCCCAATTTGACAATTCTTCTGTATAAAACCCTACCCTTTGGTGTGTATCTTTACCTTGCCTTAGGACAATTTGTGTTAATAAAAAGCTAGGGGTCCTGACACGAGGAGAACTTAGCTCCTTTAGCTAAAGCTCCTCTGCCCCTCAAATGCCGTTCAAAATTATGTTTCATCTCTGGACTCTTAATTTACATACAGCCCCTTCTCCAGATTCCAGAACCCCTCTAAATCAAGACGACCCCCCCTCCCCCCGCACTGAATGGCACCCAATGTCTGGCATTAAGTATACACATATTTCATTTAAAATTTACTTTCTTGAAAACCCAGCTATATATCCTTTAAAGTTTAGAAATTAGGATTAGAAAATTATAATTATTTAAAAAATTTCCAAACAAGTGACATGCTATATTGAAGTTCCAAATACTCTTCTTATCTAATTAGTGTAATAATTAATAGGACAAAAATAATCTTACTGAGCTCGACCAGTGTGGCTTAGTGGTTAACACTCTAAGAACCAGGAGGTCATGGTTCAATTCCTTGTCAGGGTACTTGCCTGACAAGGAAATGAATGTATCAATGCAAATACATTTTTTTTTCTTTTTTAAATCGAATTTATTTAAACAATACAACAAAATTTAATCAACAATATAGTTGCTGTTGTTTTCTACTACTTGTGCCCAACGCTCAGGAAGCATTTTAATCCCTCTGTTGTAAAATTCTTGTGATTTTGATGCAAAAAATTCGGTCAATGCATTTTTGAGGCATTCTTCATTATTAAATTTGTTTTCCAAGAAGAAAGTTTTGCAAAGAACGAAACAAATGGTAATCGGAAGGGGCAATATCAGGAGAATATGCAGGTTGAGGGAGAACTTCCCATTCCAACTGGCGCAGTTTTTCAGCAGTGATTCTTGCAGTATGTGGTCGTGCGTTATCATGGTGAAGAATTACGCCCTTCCGATTAATCAGCGCGGGTTCTTTTTCTCTTAAAGCTTGGGCTAACCTTTCCAACTGGGCACTATACACTGCACTTGTAATGGTTTGGTTAGATGGTAAAAGTTCATAATGAAGAATTCCTTTAAAATTCCACCAAACACACAACATCACTTTTTTCGCATGCAAGTCAGGTTTTGGCGTGGGCTGCGGAGCCTCATTTTTGTCCAACCACTGAGGCCGCCTTTTCAAATTAACATACAGCACCCATTCTTCATCTCCGGTAACAATTTGCTCTAAAAACGGCAAATGGTTTTGACGAGAGAGGAGCGAACTGCAAATTGTGACTCTTTGATTACGGTTGTTGTCCGTCAACTCATGAGGAACCCATTTTCCAAACTTTTGGACTTTGCCAAGTGCACACAATTGATTGGAAATTGTTTTTTTGTGAACAATTTAAAGTTGTCGCAAGCTCTTGTTGGGTAATTTAAGGATTTTCAATGCAAATACATTTAATTTAATCTATTCCCTACCAACACATATTTAGGGGTGTTTTCAATATTCTGCTTTAAGAGCCACGTTGCTATGAACGCCATTGTAGATTTATCTTTACACTAGAGGTCCGGTGTACGAATCTGTGTACCAGTGGGGTCTCTAGGCCTGGCCTGCGGGATTGGGCCGAAACCAGCTCTTTGACATCCCCCAAGGGGTCCTGGATGGCAAGAGGGCACAGGCCAGGCCGAGGGACCCCACTGGTGCATGATTGGGCTGGGGAGGGTCATGGAAGGTTGGCTAGCAGGGGAAGAACTACTGGAGGGCTCCAGGGCATGTCTGGCCCATCTCGCTCAGTCCTGATCAGCTGGACCCCATCAGCAAACTAACCTACCAGTTGGAGCATCTGCCCCTTAGTGGTCAGTGCACGTCACAGCGAGTGGTTGAGTGGCCTTAGCAAATCATTAGTATAATACTCTTTGATTGGTTGAATGGCTGATCGGATGACCAAATTTTAGCATTTTATTTTATAGGATAATCTAGTCACTTCTAGATTTCTAGAACTGAAATGCTAAATTTAAAGGCATAAACTTTCCTGCAAGACTTCTGCATTGCCAAACTGATCCCCCAAAAGGATACATTTATTAAGATCTTCTATGAAAATGCCTATTTCAAAACTATGCCAAATCTGGTCATTATTAACCTCTGTAATTTTATTTTATATTATGTCTTTGATTACTAGTGAAATTAAGTACATTTTCAAGCTGCTGGACACTTGTATCCCTTCTTTTGTAAATTGCTAAATTTTATGTATTACACCCCCATTTATTTTTTCATTGTCTTTTATAAAGTACAAATACTAATCTTTCAAATACTAGAAAAAAAGGCTAAGATTCTTTACTTCTACCTGAGCAAAAAACATGTCTCAATGCTTTAAACATGTCTTAATAAGAACTTCTTTTCGGACATATTATAGTTTTACATTTTAAATAATCAAATCTGAAAAAAATTAAATATCTTTTCTTTATGGTTTCTTGCTTAGTGTCACATTTAAATTCTTAATTACTAGTGTCATTTATATGGTAAAAATATTACCATATAGCATCATAATGAGAGAAAATCATAATAACCCATGTGACAAAAGCCCCATTTTTAAAAAAAATCAGTCTTTATTGTTCATATTATTACAAAGGTTCCTCATTTCTTCCCCCCTCCACCAGATTCCCACCCCACCCTTCACCCCCTCCCCACCTCCCACTGTCCTCATCCACAGTGCACAGTTTATGTTCAGTCTCTTCCCACATCCACCACTCCCCCTTTCCCCGAGAACTGTCAGTCCACTCCCCTCCCATATTACAGACTCCACTACAATCAACAGCTAATATTGTGCATTAGGTTTTTCAATCTCCTTTTTTTGTTGTTGTTGTTTTTTAATTAATAAACTTTTACACTTCTAAGAATAAATTTTAAAATCTAATAATTTTAAACCTTGTTTTTTTTTCTTCTGCTCTGGGAATTGAGAAGCAAACCTGTTTACATGTAAACTTGCCCTTAGGCTATCAAAAGGTGTAGCCATTCAAATGTAAATGAACACATTGTTTAAAGACTGCTGCTGGTTGGAATTGGATTACCTGTTCCTGGTGGGAAGGGCTTGTCCACCCCTTTCTCCATTAAAATTAAGGTGTTAGAAAAGCCCCATTTTTTAAACAATAATAGTATTATGATAAAATAGCTCAAATTCTCTGTGATAAAATTTATTAATTTTCTTTAAAGATATATCCTGAAGGCAGACAGCTTGAGCTTCACACGCAGTTCAGAATTTTCAAGATTGTTGAAAAGATCAGTCCTTTAGGGATACTAAATTTCTAAACAATTGTGAAGAAAATTAAAAAGGCCTATGGCCTTTTCCAGAACAAAACTGCATTTTAAAAATCTAAAATCTGGGTCTGGTAATTTATGAATATTCTTTAGATACTTTACTGAAGGGTACTATTTTATTTTTGTTTTTCTTTTCAACATTAAAGACTCATTTACATGCAAGAAACTACATCCACCTTAGAGTAACAGTTTGATGCGTTTTGACAGTTGTGTATATCCATAAATCCACTACAATCAAGATTCAGAACATTTTCACTGCCTCTAAAATATTCTTTGTGCACCTTTTCAGTCCTTCCACCCCAGATAACAGCAAACCACTGATAAGTCTATCCCTAGCATGAAGATACAGTGTGCTGTAACTGCCTTTAATTGATAAACATAAACACAAGTAAAAAAATAATACTTAGAAAATAATACATACTTCAAAATACAAAAAATAAAGGTTTTATACCTGAGTTTCTTTCTTATTGGATCCCTCTTCTGTATCTGACTGTTGTTCTTGTTCATTTTCATCGCTCTAGAATAGATAATCAATTTCAAACAGTTGATATTTACATACTTTAGGGCTTTTCTGATATAAAATGGCCCTTGAGAAAAATCGAACAGCGAAGTGAATAAAAAAGAATACAGATTTTTAAGTGGACATTTTTTCTACCCTATTTTTCAGGCCTAATTGTCTGCATGGCACAATCCAAGTAGTTCAGCATACATAGTGAAGAAAGGCAATCTACCTAACAACCTCATATTGGAGATGAGGAAGCCAGAAGCCTAGCATGAGAAAGAAGATATTCCATTTTATATTGTAACTAAAGGCCGGGTACATGGATTCGTGCACTGGTGGGGTTCCTCAGCCTGGCCTGCACCCTTTTGCAATCCAAGAACCCTTGGGGGATGTCAGACTGCCGGTTTTGGCCTGATCTGGCAGACTGACATCCCCCGAGAGATAGCAATGCCCAAGTGGCAGGCGACCAGGGAGGAGCCCGAGCTGGGGCCTGGCACCACGCCACAGCTATGTGCGTCAGCTGTGAGCCTGGCTTCTGGCTAAGCAGCGCTCTCGCTGTTGGGAGCGCACTGACCACCAGGGGGTAGTTCTGTGTTGAGCGTCTACCTCCTGGTGGTCAGTGCACATCATAGCAACCAGTCAAGCCATCAACAGGTTGTAATGGTCCTTTAGGCTTTTATATATATAGATTAGAGGCCCAGTACATAAAAATTCATGTACTGGGGGGGGGGCGGGGGGGGGGTCCCTCAGCCTGGCCTATCCCTTCTCACAGTCCGTGAGCCCTCAGGGACAGGAGGCAACCCAACGATCAGGGGAAGGTGACGCCCCATCACACCTCTGTTGCTGCCACTGCCAGCAGTGCAAGTCTCAGCCGTCCCTGGTTACCTGAGCCTCGGGCGGCCCTGGGTGGCTGGGCAGCTGCTACCTGAGGTTTGTCTGCGCCTTGGGCCTGCTCTGGGCGACTGGACAGCAAATATCCAAGGCTTGCCTGTGCCCTGGACTGGCCCTGGGCGGCTGGGGGGCTGAGGGTATTAGCGGACTCCGGAGGCAGGTGTATGGCTGAGGGGACTAAGTGCCGCCATCTTGTGGCTGTGGGTGCTGCCACCTTCGAGGGTGGGGCAGTCAATTAACATATTCCTCCTTATTGGCTGTGGTTGCCACCATCTTTATTATGGCGTGAAGGTCAATTAGCATATTCCCTCTTTATTAGATAGGACTAGAGGCCCAGAGCATGAAAATTCATGCACTGAAGTGGAGGTCCCTCAGCCTGGCCTACCCCTTCTCAAAGTCTGGGAGCCCTCAGGGGTGTGAGGCGAACCAGCAAACAGAGGAAGGTGATGAGCCCATCACATCTCTGCTGCTGCCACTGCCAGCAGTGCAAGCCTTGGCGATCCCTGGTTACCTGAGCCTCGGTCAGCCTTGGGTGGTTGGGCATCCGCCATATGAGGCTTGCCTGAGCCTAGGGCCAGCCCTGGGTGGCTGAGGGCGGGTCTGGCTGTACTGCTTGCCTGCCACCCCCCAGGCTGTACTGAAAGGACTGGGGGACTCTGGCAGGGTTGAGGGAACTGGGTGCCTCCATCTTGTGGCTATGAGTGCCGCCATCCTTTGTAACAGTCAATTTGCATATCCCCTCTTTATTATATAGTAGGCGTGTCGAACTCAATCAGAGAAGGAGCCAAAATCTAAAATCCAGCCTAAATCGCGGGCCGAATGGTTTACTGAACAGTCATAAACTGTCATTGTGATGGAAACGCAGCAGAGTGCAGTGATGACAGCACGGTGTGCACCACATTGCAAGGCCTGGCGGGACAGATTTGGCCCGCGGGCCTTGTGTTTGACACATGTGTTATATAGGATAGTACTTCATGTACTTTAATCATCAATATAAGTACTATTTAGCTATCCTATATAATAAAAGCCTAGGTGGCTCTCACGCACAATGTCATCACAAATGGCCGCCATCACATTGAACAAAATGGCCACTACAAGATGGTTGGCAGGGGAGGGCAGTTGGGGGAGAGATCAGGCTGACAGAGGAGGGCAGATAAGGGTAACCAGGCCAGTGCGGGGGATAGCAGTTGGGGGAGAGATCAGACCAGCAGGGCTGGGCAGTTGGGGACAAAAGGGCTGGTAGGGGAGAGCAGTTGGGGGCGACCAGGTTAGCAGGGAAGGGCAGTTGGGGGTGATCAAGCCAGCAGGGGAGCAGTTAGGCATCAACCAGGCCAGCAGGGGAGCAATTAGAGGTGAAAAGGCTGGCAGGCAGATGAGCATTTAGGAGCCAGCAGTCCTGGATTGTGAGAGGGATGTCCAGCTGTCAGATTTCCCTTGAGGATCCCAGACTGGAGAGGGTGCAGGCTGGGCTGAGGGACGTCCCTGCCTCCCTTCTCCCCTGCACCAATTTTGTGTACCCAGCCTCTAGTTCAACTATAATGAGGCAACAAAAATAGGAAAGTCATGATCTTAAGCAAGAAAAGCTGCGTTCTATAAGCCTAGCAAGATCTATTCAACAGTCCTATTATGTTTAGGTTGTTTATCTATTTGGAAATTCATTGGGAGTTTATAATACACCAAACAGAAAATCAGTTTCAGCAGATTAAAAACCCCAGACTATGGGTATACCTATTAGAAGGTCATGAACATCTCAACAAACCTTAAAGTGTTGAAAGAAAAAGAAAATTTGCATTCAAACATATCTGTCTTAGGCTCACCATAAAAACATCACAGGCTTTACAATTAGGTCACTCAAGAGTCTCATTGGTTATAGCTATTTTTAGCTATGTGACTTAGGGCAAACTTATTTTAAATTTTCCTGAGTCACAGTTACATTACACATAAAACTAAAGATAAAAACTTTACAGAACTGCTCTGAGGAGTAGTGAGAATCTGTACAAGCTATCATTTTGGTAACTAGTAATAAATTATATGTGAACACAAGGCTGGGAACAGGAGAAATCAATGCTGCTGCTGCTACTATTACTTATTAATATAGATATCTTAATTCCATATCATGGACTAATTGTTTCTATACATTGGAGCTTCATGGGAAAACATAGGAACTGAAAATTTAAAAAGGGGGAAAGCTCAGACGTCCTGAAAAGTAGTAACTAAAAAAAAAAGGAATCTTCTAATACAATAGAGCAAAAAGCTGCCCTTTCTTTTTATATGTCGTATGATAGAGGTGTGGACATGAATGGGAAAGGAGGGCTCTGCTTTGCTGGTTGATTAGAACACAATTCAATGTAGGCTCAAATTAAAAAGACAAATGTTGCCAATATAGAATTCAGGAAGGATCCTTATAATGCAAGGAACTGTAGTTGAAGGAAGGGCTGGTCTGAATAACAGTGGGGAAATAAATACTATACTGTAATAAATACAGTTTTGCCTATGAAATTACTCACATGTATTAGTTATTTAGAAGATAAAAGAATTTTAAGTAATAAGTTACTATGTCAGGGTGCTAAGACTGTGGGGTTTTATTTTACTGTTATTAAAATGTTACCAGTTTGTCTCAGTGGATAGAGCGCCGGCCTGTGGACTCAAGGGTCCCAGGTTCGATTCTGGCCAAGGGCATGTACTTTGGTTGCGGGCACATCCCCAGTACAGGGTGTGCAAGAGGCAGCTGATCAATGTTTCTCTCTCAATGATGTTTCTAACTCTCCCTCTCCTTTCCTCTCTGTAAAAAAAAAATCAATAAAATTAAAATAAAATGTTACCAGGCAGTCAATTAAAATCAACCATACATTATATACTTCCTGATGGAGGCTAAAAATAGGTTGCCAGCCCTGACTGGTGTGTCTAGATATTTAGACCATTGAATGCCTGTGCACCAAAGGGGTTTTGGGTTCAATTCGTGGTCAAGGGCATGTACCTGGGTTGCAGGTTTGATCACCATACTCCATTGGTGTGCATGCAGAAGGTAACTAATGGATGTCAATGTTTTTCTCTCCCTCCCTTCTACTCTCTCTAAAAATACCAATGAAAAAATAATATCCTCAGGTGGGGATAAACAAGCAAACAAAAAAACCTTGCCAAAGGGATCAGAATCTGATCAATTCTCTACCAGTTGATGGGAAATAGGAAAAAACTACACTTCAAGAATATGAGAATCCAGTTCATTAGAAAGCAATTGTAAGGTGGGAAAAAAGGGATGGAGGGAGAAACTTACTGATTAAAAAAAAACATTAGAGAGATAATTAATCATCATGTTTGGTACTATTTGAGTCCTAATCAAACCAGCAAAATATAAAACTATAACAACAAACAATTTATGGCATATATGAATTAAATGTACATTAAAAATGATTAAATATTCAATATTAAGGATTTAATGTTTATTTAACAATAAGTCTGATCTGGTATTGTGCTCATTATTTAATAATATCATGGTTACTATTTTTAATAATTTTTATCCCTTAAAAATATATACTATAATTTTTACAGATAAAATGATATGTCTAAGATTTTCTCAAAATTATATGGGAGTTGGAGAAGTGGTGAGGAATTAGCTTAAATAATGGATAGTTGGGGTGGGATCAATATACTTTTCCATTACTGTTGTATGGTTGAAGTTTTCTATATTAAAAGTTAAATGAGTCCAGCCAGTGTAGCTCAGTGGTTGAGTATTGAACCATGAATCAGGAGATCACAGGTTTGATTCCCTATCAGGGCACATCACCAGGTTTCAGGCTCTATCCCCAGCAAGAGGCATACAGGGGGCAGCTGATCAATGATTATCTCTCATCACTGATGTTTCTATCCCTTTCTCTCACTCTCCCCTACTCTCTCTAAAATCAATAAAAACATGTATTTTTTAAAAATTGAAAGAAAAAAGGGGAAAAATCAAGGTAAAAGGTCAAACAAACTAAAAAGACGACAAAACAAATTATATTTGTCCTTCTATGGTTGTACATTGTATTGAAATGGTATAAATTTCTCATTAACTGAGCTAACCCATAGTTCTTTTTTCTCCTACAAATGAACAGCAATACCAGGCATACAATTAAGAATCAGGAAAAAATTGAAATTCTATAGGATTGTTATAATTTGGTAAGAAAAGCACTGTTTCTAACCAGCAATATTGGATGAAAATAACAGTTATGTATATATATTATAATCATGTTCAAGAAAATGGGATTAAATGTAAAGCATCTTTCAAGACCTTCTAAGATGAGAATAGTTTAGTCATTATACAATAATCAACATATGTATGCTGAGCTGCAGCTATTATTTTTATTACAAAAGAGCTCCTGCTTTTAACACAAAAAAATCTTAGTAGTTATTAACTATCCTTTATAAAATAAATTTTCCTATTTCATAATTTGGCTTATCAATATACAGTGACGATCTTAAGAGTATAGAGAATGGTCGACTGTCTACCCCTCCAGCCTTCCCGTCAGTGCACGTCATAGTGAGCAGTTGAGCGGCCTTAGCATATTATTAGTAGATTACGCTTTGATTGGTGGAATGGCCAAACTTTTATGAACAGTTAATTTTTCCTATTTCATAACTTGGCTCAATAACACATAGTGATGATCTAAAGAGTATATAAACTGAGGCATTAAGATATTATTATTATGCACTTTGGAAAAGAAGCATACTAGTCCTGGCCAGGTAGCTCAATTAGAGTGTTGTCTTCTTATGCCAACGTTGTGGGTTCATCTCTGATTAGGACACATACAAGAATGAATTAGTGAATACATAAATAAGTGGGACAACAAATCAAAGTTTCTCTCTCTCCCTTCCTCTTCTCTAAAATAATTTAAATAGGATTTCTTGAGAGGAGGAGGAGGAGGAGGAAAAAGAGGAGGAGGAAGAAGAAGAGTAATAGAAGCATATTATCAAGAAGTTATATTTTAACAGGTTCTCACATCTTGTGTCCAAAATGAAACTCCAGTAGATCTTCTTTTCTCTCTTGGTCTCCGTCGCTCCCTGATTGATTTAGGCTGTGATTTATCTTCTCCTTCTTTCTCCTCTTCTCTCTTTTCTCCCTCTGTTAAGGATTACAATGCACCACATGGTAGCAATGTATCTTGACAGTATTTTGCAAGACAAATGTAAAAACAATTCCAAGTCAACCTCCTTTGTGAAGCCTACTAAAATTCTCTAATCATTATAAAAATTTCCCCCTTCCTATAACTTGGTTTAAACATATACCTGTATTTCTCATCAGATACATTCTTCAAGATCAAGACAAGAACTAATTTTAATTACTTAATTTTCCTAGTGCCTATACAAGTTTTGCTCAAAAGATATACTTAGTAATATCTGCTGATCAAAAAATAATTAAATACTAAGAAGATTCAATTGGGGCTCTTCTGTTAGGAAAATAGTTATTATACTCAAAGTTAACACTTCAAGAAAACAAACAAACAGTTCTTAATGATGGAATAGCTAGCTAGTAGGCATCATAAAACTATCAGTTTCTGCTGGGACCGGTTTGGCTCAGTGGATAGAGCATCGGCCTGCAGACTGAAAGGTCCTGGGGTCGATTCCGGTCAAGGGCATGTACCTTGGTTGCGGGCGCATCCCCAGTAGGGGGTGTGCAAGAGGCGGCTGATCAATGATTCTCTCTCATTGATGTTTCTAACTCTCTACCCCTCTCTCTTCCTCTCTGTGAAAAATCAATATATTAAAAAAAACAAAAACAAAAACAAAAACAAAAAAACTATCAGTTTCTGCTTCTACTATTCTCAGTCCCCATTCAGCAGAATAAATTCATTTCATTTCTATTAGACAGCATCTAAGAGGAAATCCATTTTTCTGGAAAAAATATTTATCTTTCTTTAAAAATAAAATCAATGTAAAAAAAATAGTCTTAAAATTTATTTCCTTCCTGGGACAGCTAAAATGGCTTCAGACATACATACGAAGAGAATACAAGGGCCTTTGTATATCCTTTAAGAAGTACAAATATATGGGGGGAGGGGAGGAATGATTTTTAAAAGGTTCCTTGTATCATTAGCAAAGAGTTACAGCAAAAGACAACCCCAAATTAAGTATTAAGAGGAGTTTTAAAAATTATTTTTGGAATTAGTTTAGAGCAAAGATCTTAAATTCTAATGCCTGTAGTAGCAATTTGGGAAATGAAAATATATAAAGGGGGCCAGAAGGGCACTTTTCCAGGAGGATGGAGGGCTGCTATTATTTGGCTTTAGCCAATTGATGACATGTGAAAATTCAGACCCAGTGATACCAAATCTTTCAAATATTCAACAGACAATGGAAAGATGGATTATGCAAATATATACATAATTTTAAATGTTAGCTCAAAATTTTTATAAACATTATGTGCACCTCTCAACTTAGTGGTTCAAAAAACTAAAATATCTCAATGACTAACAAAAGAAAAGCAGCTGGAAATTAGGAAAAACTTAATTTTCTGAAGTCTATACCTTATATAATTACTGCTATAATCTCATGACTAAAACTATGGCATTTTGCTTTTAAAACATAAAATGCCTATAATTAGGAATAATTTTATTTAGTGCCTATCTCTGATTTAAAATATAATTAATTAGAATTTAAATAGAAAGTTTATATGCAATAATAGGAAATGTTAATATTGAGCATCAGGATGCCAATATAGATAAAAAAAAAATCTATTTCTTGAGAAATAAACATAAAAACAATTTAGTTCTAGCAAGGACATTATATGAGTTAAGTGATTTTAGTTTAAATCAATTTCAAAAAAAAATCATGTAAGAGATATGATACACATAACAAGCAATAAATAAATAAAAGCATTAATAAGCTGTTCCACCAGTTCTTCTATACTGATTTTTCTACACTGGTAGATATAAAGATTTTTGTGGCATCTTAGGTTATAAAGATATGTATCAATGCCAGTTCACATAATTTCCTTTTGATTTTATACTTTTCTCACTCTCAACCATCTTATCATTTAGGTAGAATGGCTCCCAGTTTAGAATGTTGTTTCTTTTCTATTGAAATATTAATTAGAAAAACCAATTCAAATGATTATTTGAAGGAAACAAAGTTTTTTCAAAATTTGGTCTTCTTACCTCTTTCATTTTCTTTTGTTAATCCTCGTGAGTAAGCAGAAGTTATACCTACAAGGCTATTTGGCCTGTTTAGTTGACTTGAAGCATAGAGTGAACTGCTCATGGTAGAAAGTGAAGAGGATGGAGTGGTTGAACTTGATACTGATCTGTAACGCTGATAAGTCTGTGAAATATTAGATGTAAAATGCATTTAAAATATTAAACATACTTAAAAAACATAGAACACTTAAGTTTATTTCAATGAAAAAGTAATGTCCTATTCATGTCAAAATATTTCAGATTTCTATTAAAACCCTTTTGAGTATTTTGTATATTGTTTGTTGGTATACAAATCTCCCTGGATTTTGAAAATCACAGGAAGTTTTCCTACCATTTTACCTAGCTGTGTCATTGGTATACTATTTACCTCATCATATGTTCTGGACTTTTGCTTATATTCATCTTCTCGAGAGGTTTCTGACTCCTTTTTTTCTTCTTGCTTCTCTTTATCCTGTTTTTCTTTTTCTTCTTTTTCTTTTTCTTCATTTTCTTGTTCTCTGGTTCGAATAGAACGACTTCTTCCTATCGTTTTCTCAGCTTCCTGAAGATCAGTCAATGTCACCCCCTGCACATAAAAATGATAAATTTAATTATGAGGCATTAAAGCTCAGTTTGAAGGAATACTATAAGGAAATGTGAATGTATTGAAAGTCAAATATGTATGTTTGAAATTGGTTTGCAAAATGAAACAATTTCTACTTAGCAATTCACATCCATTGTATGAACAATCATCAGGAACAAGCACAATAAAGGAGGTAAAAAATAAAAATGTGTAAGAAATTGCCTCTATATTCAAGTAATTAACAAAATAGCATAGGAGATGGCAAAAATACCATTATGAATATAAATATTCCCAGAATGTTCAGCAAATGAAGAAAAAGCCAAAAAATCAGTTTATATATCAAATTTATATGTATTTATGGTCTTATATATTTATATACCCACAGATTATTACAGTAAAGAAATCATTTTGAAGGTTAAGCCTTGAGGAACAGATCAGATTTTAAGAAGCAAAAGAGTAAAGACAGAAAAAATATGTTAATATTCTAGCAAATAGTTTAGCTTGATATATGAGTAATGGTAACGCTGAAATAGCTGAAGCAGAACTTTGGTGCTCAACTGGGGGAAAGAAAAGACTCAAAGGGATATATGAAATATAATTACAACGGCAAGGAGGAGATAATGAGATGATAACCAGTCTGAGTGCCATTTTTCTCATACTTGCACAGTAATTATTTAATATACCTAATAGACCTATTTCCCCAAACTCTAAATATTCTTGGAACTCTTTAATAATTATTTGAAATCACATGTGATTAATTCATTTTAACAGATATCTGTGCCAGATATCACAACAGGAATAAAAAATACTCAAAAAGGTACAAGGCATATGCTAATTAGATGAAATACAATACTGACAGTGTAATCATATAAAAAATATTAAAACCACCTTTAAAAATTATTTTTTACTGATTTTTAGAAAGAGGGGAAGAGATAGAAACATCGGAGTGAGAGGGAACCATCAACTGGCTGCCTCTTGCACACCTCTAGGGACAGAGCCTAAGACCTAGGCGTGTGCCCTGACCGGAAACAACCGGCAACCTTTTGGTGCGAGGGATGATGCCCCAACAACAGGCCACACTAGCTAAGGCTAAAGCAACTTTTATCTTTAAAGGTTTACTCACATTATATAATGACATCAAAATATTTATAGCACAGTAAAAAAGGCAAAAGTAATTTATTTTAAAGTTTCATATATTACAAACATAAATATACCTGTGTTGATCTTCTAGACTGTCTTGCTTGTCTAGATCTTGCTTTTCTTTGGGATTCAGATTCTTCATCTCTAACAGGAGTGAGGTATGATCTACAGTAATATATAATAATCGTTAGTTGGAGATACAATAACTGTGAATGCTTTTACATATGAATGTGAGTGAAACATACAAGTTTAGCATTTTAATAGATTTTAAGAAAATTAGCCTTCAGAAAATGGTTATATCCACTCTGAAATTCAACAATGCAATCTGATAATCTTTTAGATTACATAGAATTAATCATATTAACTATCACATTTTTCAAATTTTTCCTAACTACAGATTTTTAAAAAACAACTATCTAATGTAATTCCTCCTTAGCTCCTTTTTTTGATTCCCTACAACACTTTTTAAGGTCATATCTCAAGTTATCTGGCTAATCTCTAGACTGTCTATGTCTTCATGTACAATGGGTAGGACTGAATGCAACATTCAGGATACAGGATGACTAGTAGTAAGCAGCACTCCCTGTTTTCATGTCCTTGCACATTTATTAATAATGTTTTTGGCAGACCCATTCTTTTGTTCACAATATAAGTACTCTAAAAATTCAAGTGGTTTTATACATGAACTGTTTTAAAATCAGCATTTATCTTGGGTAATTGATTTTCTGATATAGAGAACTTAGCATTTATTTTCACTAAATCTCATAAATCTAAGCCTATATTCCCTTCTGTCTTAGGACATGCATAATTTCAAAAGCATGCAATCTATGTCGTTAAATAATTAAAGAGTTAAACAAACAAATATAAGACAGAGCCCTGCTAAACAAAAAAAAACTTCCCTCCAATGATCAGTATTACTTTAGTTTTCTTTTTGTATTGCAGGGCTCTGTCTTATAATTTTCATTCTGTTTTTATATATCAACTCCCTAGAGTTCTAAGTTTTTAAAAATTAATTAATTAATCTTCATCCAAGGATATTCTTATGGATCTTAGAGAGAGAGGAAGGGAAAGAGAAATGGGTGGAGAATGAGAGGAAGAGGGAGGAAGATTGAGGGAGGGAGACAGAGATAAGAAAGAGAGGGAAACATTGATGTGAGAGAGAACACTGAACTTGCAACCCTTCAGTATATGGGACAACACTCTAACTTAGCCACACAGGCCAGGTCTAGAGTTTTAAGGTGTTTAGATATAAAAGATGCTTCCTATTTTTATAACAATGCTAGAGGCCCAGTACACAAAATTAGTGCAAGGGTAGGGTCCCTAGGCCTGGCTCGCGATCAGGGCTGATCAGGGCCTTCCGAATGCTGGCTGGGGCCTTCCTTCACTCCGCACCATCCCCTGGGTGGTCAGTGTGCATCAGAGCAAGCGATGGAACTCCTGGCCGATCTCCTGAGGGGACACTTTGCATATTAGCCTTTTATATACCATATTTTCTGGCATATAAGACGACACTGTGTTCTAGTAAAAAGCCTGCTCAGATTGGCCAGAGTCAGAGAGGCGGTCTATTAAAAAAAGAACTGGTGTTGCCTGAGAAGTGGGGGGTAGTCTTATACAGAGAATATAGGCCTAAACCTGTTTTAACTGTAAAATTAGGGGGTCGTCTTATATGCCGGAAAATACGTATGTAGATGAGGAGGTTGTTTGTTGATGTTTTAATTTGGAAAATGCTATACATTCTAATGTGTCTCCAGGAAGATCACACCATATTAAATGGTCTTAGAAGTACTAAGAGAAGAAACTGGTGTAATTGTGCTTAACTCTGCATTTAAATAGGGAATACGACCCCCCTCCCCGCTTTTGGTGGTACAACTATTGAATGTGAAAAAGTGCTCCATAAGACAACAGCTTGGAAATACAGTCCAATGACTATCTCTTCCTCCATTTATTTAACACTTCTTTATGCACCAACTAACCCGATGCAATTTATTGCTTTTTGTACTTCTACCAATTGAGGAGAAAAAACAAACAAAAGGAGGTGACACATAAATGTGATGGGAAATCTGGTTAAGCCAAATTTACAGCAACCCATATGGCTGCATACCACTTTAGCATTTCATCAGCTCCTATAAAAGTAAACATGAACACAAAGCACTGAATTCTAACTATTACTATTTACATGGTCAAAGTTTTCATATTTAATTTTGAACAGGGTAATATGCATTGCCACTTTGCCCTTTTAACCATGGCAAATCATTAACAAACTATCACACTCTCTTCCAAAGAGTCAAGATTCTTTTTAAACAATTTCAAGTGACCATGAAAATTAATAAATCTATTTATAATATCTGGTTTATTATATTCAGGTTAGAGGGATGAAAGTTAATGGACTTGTAAAATCTGTTCATTTAAATTCCTCATATAACATTTCCCAAAAATAGCACAAAAATCTAGCCTATCAATTTCTAATACATATATTTTCTGTATTTGATAGTCTCCATATGATATTCAGTTCCTTTCTCTATCCTTGGAGTTCCTCTACTCTAAGAATAAGATGTAGAAAAGAAGTTTATATATATATATATATTCCAAAGAGCTGATGATAAAAAAGACAGCAGAATACAGCAAACTCCATTGACACCTTAATTATTATCTTATATAATAAAAGGCTAATATGCAAATTGACTGAATGGTGGAATGAATGGTCACTATCATGCACACTGAACACCAGGGGGAGATGCTCTCAACGCAGGAGCTGCCCCCCTGGTGGTCAGTGTGCTCTCACAGGGGGAGCCCCACTCAGCCAGAAGCTGGGCTCAGGCTCACTGCTGGTGGTGGGAGCAGGCCTATCTTGGCAGTCAGACATCCCCCAAGGGGTCCTGGACTGTGAGAGGGTGCAGGCCAGGATGAGAAATGAGGGACCTTCCCGACACCCAGTGAACTAATGTTGTGCACCAGGCCTATAGTGATACCATACTGTCAGACTGTATCTCTCTCTTTTTTTAATCTTACAGAGGATGTGTTTTTTTTAAATTGATTTTAGAGAGAGAGGAATGGAAGGAGAGAGAGAAAAACATTGATGCTCAAGAGAAACATCAATCAGTTGCCTCTACTATGAGCTCCAACTGGAGATTGAACTTGCAGTCTAGGTAAATGCCCTGACCAGGAACTGAACCCACAGCCTTTTAGTTCACGGGACAATGCTCCAATCAACTGAACCACCTAGCCAAGGCAGAGTGACTTTTTTATATAACAACATGGGATATATAAGCTTATTACTTAAGTATTACACTGCTTACAATTTTCTGAGCAATGGAAAGGTTGTTATTTTTAAAGACTTTTCCCCCCAATAAATGTAATTATTATATATATATACATATATACACACACACACACACACACACATATATATATATATGCATATATATATATGTATGTATATGTATATTTTAATACAGTGGCATGTATTGGCTGAAATATTTATAATGTTTACATTTTGGTTAGTCAAACAAATTACATCTTTAAAAATCTGAATACCAACCCTTGCTTCACACTTAGCTTTTTTCCTTACAGAGGGAAGTTAAATGTGCAAAGTGAGCTGCCTGAACAAAAGGAAAATGGTGGAAGAGAGTAGTAATATTGAAGCAAAAGTTCCATGTGAATCCATGCTGCAAATACAAAGTTATTAGTAAGATACTGCCTTTTTTTTTTTTTTTTAAATCCTCACCTGAGTATGTTTCTACGGATTTTTTGAGAGGAAAGGAGAGGCAGTGAGAGAGAGACAGAAAGAGAAACAGAGAGTGTGAGAACCATCAGTTGCCTCCTGTATGCACCCTGGGGATCGAGCCTGCAAACTGGGCAAGTGCCCTGACTAGGAATCAAATTTGCAACCGTTTGTTGTACAGAACAACCCACTGAGCCACACTGGTCAGGGCAGTAAGGTACTATCTTACAGTTAGAAAAGACTATAGAAAATTAGAAATACTTAAACAGTAAAAGAATTTGCTATCAAGCTCCATATATCTAAAGCTAGCTTCTCTTCTCTACTCCACCTTCCCAAAATTAACCCTTTGGAAATCTTAACTAATAAAAACAGAACTCCTCACTTAATTAGATCAATAAAAACAGGGGAATTCTAAAATGCTGTGGAATTTAATAGTGTAAATAGTAACTTTCCTTAATATCCAAAAGTACATATGTAATAGTACCCAAAGTAGCATAAATAAGTTGATTTATTTTTTTTCTGCCACTATATATTCTTAAATAATATGTACATTTTGGGGACAAATTTTCAACCATCTACATTTAAAAAAAAAATTTCAATGAAATTTAATTAAGACGAACGGAAGAGGCCCACAATGTATTCAAAATTGCAAACAAATACTTGACATGAAACAAACACAAACATCAATATTACTGCAAACATTATTGAAACAAGGTTAAGACAAATTTTTTGTAAGAGACCAGGAAAAATGTCAACAGACACATTTTGTTTCTAAATGCTATTAGAATCTGCTCTGTCCTTATTATATCTTCAAATATTTAATTCTCAATCTTTAATGTCTTCTAGGATTAATTCTAAAAAGTTGAAATTCAACTTCCTATAACAACATAAAAAATCTGAGATTAAGAATTATAATTTGTTCTGAAACAACATATGATTCTGGGTATATATTAGATGTTGTCCCTGAAGAATTTTAAAAAGCATGGAATTCTAGAGTTAAAAAGGATCCTGGAAGTTAAAAAATATATATATCATATACATCAATTTATAGAAGAAATTCTGACCTATAGAAAATTCTAAATTTAGGAATAAGGCAGAGCAAGGATTAAAAAACCCCAAAGACTCCTGACCCTTTCTCTCCTTGGTGATCTCACCCCATAAAAGCAAAACAAATTTATTTTTACTAAAAGAGAATGATGGATGCTTCTGCCTCTCTAATTTCTGTTGGCTGATAGTCTTATTAAGAACACTTCAAATAACCTGAACTGACTTAAATTTATAGAAAAATAAGGAATAATTCAAATATGATATGACCTATATAGGTACTCCAATCACAAAGTTCGAACCACTTGTAATGGCATTATAGAAGTATTATTAAATTTCACCACAAAAATATATGAAAACATTAAAAATAATTTTGTTACTTTTTATATGTTCACCACAAATATTACTGTAAGAATCCTACTGTAAGGCAGAACCAGTTTGGCTCAGTGGATAGAGCGTTGGCCTGCGGACTGAAAGATCCCAGGTTCGATTCTGATCAAGGGCATGTACCCTGGTTGTGGGCACATCACCAGTAGGGGGTGTGCAGGAGGCAGCTGGTTGATGTTTCTTTCTCATCGATATTTCTAGCTCTCTATCTCTTTCCCTTCCTCTCTGTAATAAATCAATAAAATATATTTTTTAAAAAAAGAATCCTACTGTAAGGATGCACTTTGAGGCACCAAAGACAAAGGCTGTATAAAACTGTCCATTTATGAACACTATGTGTCAGAAACAAAACAAAGTTAACCTGGTTGGTATTTTAGAAGAAAAATTTAGAAGAAAATATCAGTTATGTAGCTAATTAAATTTTGGAAGAGTGAAATATAAAAAAGGTTACACTTAGCTTCCCACTTTTCTTCTACAAGGAAAAACAAAATTCAAAGCTGAACCTGTCTAGTGTAGTTCAGTGGTTGTGCATGGATCTATGAATAAGGAGGACCTAAATCCGAGTTGTTGGCTCGATCCCCTGTGGGAAGCATGCAGGAGGCAGCCAATCAATGATTCTCTCATCATTGATATATATATCTCCTATCTAATAAAGAGGGAATATGCTAATTACAAAGATGGTAGCACCAACAGCCAACAAGGAAGATATATGCTAATTGACTGCCATGCCCTCAAAGATGGCGGTGCCCATAGCCACAAAATGGCGGTGCCCAGTCCCCTCAGTCCCAGCAGGGCCGCAGGCACACAGCAAGGCTGGGCCCACCTCCAGGTGGGCCCAGCTGCTCCGTGCGCCTGCCTCCTGAGTCCCCCAGTCCTCTCAGCCTTCCAGCCCCCCAGGGCTGGCCCAAGGTGCAGGCTAGCATTGGATGGTGGCTGCCCAGCTACCCAGGGCTGCCCGAGACTTAAGTAACCAGGGCCAGCTGAGGCTTGCGCTGCTGGCAATGTTAACAGCAGAGGTCTAATGGGGCTTTGCTTTCCCCTGATCACTGGGTCGTCTCCTGTCCGAGGGCTACCGGATTGCCGGACTGTGAGAGGGGGTAGGCTGAACTGAGGGATTCCCACTCCAGTGCATAAATTTTCATGCACCAGGCTTTGAGTGTATGTGTGTGTGTGTGTGTGTACACACACACACACTACACACACACACACACACAGGAGGCCCGGTGTACGAAATTCATTCACGGGGGTTTGTGTCCCTCAGGCCAGCCTGCACACTCTCTAATCTGGGACACAATCTAGGACTGCTGGCTCTCAACTGCTTGCCTGCCTGCCAGCCTGATCACCCCCTAACCACTCCCCTGCCAGCCTGTTTGCCCCTAACTGCTGTCCCTTGCAGGTCTGGTCACCCCTAATTACCCTTCCCTGCCAACCTGGTTGTCCCCAACTGCTCTCCAGTGCAGGCCTGGATCCCACTCCACCCCAAATGCCCAGTCACCTCCAACTTCCCTCCTCTGTTGGCGTGGTGACCTGCAGGCCTGGTCCCCCACAACTGCTCTCCACTGTAGGCCTGGGTTTCCCCCATCTGCCCTTTCTTGCATGCCCGGTCACCCTCAACTTCCCCCCTCTGCCAGGCTGGTCCCTCCCAACTCCCCTCCCCTGCTGGCCATCTTGTGTCCACATGGGGGGCAGGATCTTTGACCACATGGGGGCAGCCATCTTGTGTGTTGGAGTGAAGGTCAATCTGCATATCACTCTTTTATTAGATAGGATAAAGGCCTCATGCAACAGTGGGGGCTGGCTGGTTTGCCCTGAAGAGTGTCCCAGATCAGGGTGGGGGTTCCCTTGGGGCATGGGGCAGCCTGAGCCAGGGGCCTGTGGTGGTTTGCAGGCTCGCCATGCCTCCTGGCAATCCAAGCGGAGGCTCTGGTATCTGGGGTTTATCTTCTACAATTGAAACTTTATAGCCAGTAGCGGAGCCATGCCTTCTGCTTGCTCTGTGGCATCAGCCATTTCTGTTTGGTTTTATGTATCTTTTATAATCGAAACTTTGTAGCCTTAAGTGAAGGCCTAAGCCAGCCAAGGCTGCAGAAAGCTCTTTCCAGCTCTGTGGCTGCCACATTTCTGTGTGGATTTGTTTACCTTCTATCATTGAAACTTTGTAGCCTTGTGTGAAGGCCTAGGCCCACAAGGGCAAGTGGAAAGCTTGGCTTCTTCCATTGCCTGGGAAACCCACGCCTCCTTCCTGCTCTCTGTGGCTGTAGCCATCTTGGTTGGGTTTATTTATATATTTGTTCCCGATTGGCTGGTGGGCGTGCCTTTGTGAGCGTGGCTTATGGGCGCAGCAGAGTGATGGTTAATTTTCATATTACTCTTTTATTATGTAGGACTATATATATAAAATTCAAAGTTAGGGACTATGAATGATATAGCAGAAAGAAGACTGTACTGATTCTTCTGTAATCTTGGGTGTAGATTTAGCTCTCACACTAAATAAAAGTGGAAAAGTCATTTATTTCTGGATCTTTAAATTGAGAAGATATCCTTTCCACATCTGATTCCATACCACTGACAACAGAATACAAAATAAATTCATAGCTTCTAAAAATATTTAATTAACTAGTGCCTTCTATATATCAGAATTAAAACTAAGTGAATGAATTAAATAGTTAAAAGTATTTGGCGTATAGATATGAACAAGAAACCATTTCTCACCAAGAGAATCTTAAAGTGAAATTCTCAAAGGTAACAGCAAAAATCATTTAACATCCATCAGATTTCTTAATAATGAGGGGAAACAATAAGATTAAAAAAAAAAACAAACACCTGTTTTTGTCATGTTGAATCTGTGTTTTTTAAAAAAATATATTTTTATTGATTTCAAAGAGGAAGGGAGGTGAGAAAGAGATAGAAACATCAATGATGAAAGAGAATCACTGACTGGCTGACTCTTGCATGATCCCTACAGGGGATCAAGCCCGCAACCCGGGTATGTGCCCCTGACTAAAATCGAACCTGGGACCCTTTAGTCTGTAGGCCAACATTCTATCCACCGAGCCAAACCAGTTAGGGCACATCTGGTTTTCCATTAATGTGATTATGTGTGTTTAGATTTTCATTACAAAAATATTTTGAATGAAACCACCCATTAAAAACAGTAAGATGGCTAAGTAAAAAGATAACTGTTTGGCTCAAAGCCTTTAAACAAAACCACCAATTCTGTTCTAGGTGGGTAAGCAAGCCTGAATGCTAATTAATGGCTAATTATATAAATTTTCATAGTTCTGAGCTGATATAGATTACTTCCCTTATTATCCTAATGGAGAGATGGTGGTCAACTTCACAAGATTACAAATATAAAACAAACAACTTTCATCACTGGGCAAGATATAGCAGCAGTACTATTAGGACCTTTACACACCTGCGTCTCTCCCTGACCTCTGATGTGGAGGAGACAGTGCCAGCAGTAGTTGTAGTCAGGGTTGTGGTAGAGGCTGCAGCATTTACAACAGTTGGAGCAACAGGAATGGTCACTGCCGTAGGAACACTGTCCTTTTCTTTTTCAGTACTATCCTCAGCCCACAAACGATTTGAGGTACTATAGCATCACAAGCAGCAACACAAAAAAGAGAAAAGGAAAACAGCTAAACAATGAAAGCACTTTATAGCAGCTGAAAAACATGACTACAGGGATGGATTTTTTTAAAATACAAGGCAAGACATTTTTAAACTATGAACCAAAAAGCTCAATCAGAGCTGTCAAAGAGAGAAATTTATATTTTAAGCAGCCTAATTCAAGGAAAGTTTGTAATTCAGGAATCTATTTTTTTTTCCCCCAGACATGCATCATAGCAACTTTTTGGAACCAATTTTTGTTTGTAAATGATTTTAACAAGGTAAATGAAAAAATCCAGAGCCCCACAATCTTCTAAACAAAAACGCATGCACATACGTAAGCACACAGTAAGCCTGAACACAAAGTGTATCTGTGACTCACCTGCTTTGTGTGCCTGCTGAGGAAGAACCCGTTGTAATCTTTGTAGTAGTGCTTGTGCTGGAAAGCAGGCTTTTCTGAAGCCCAGCTGCAGAGGTAACTGTTGGTGTTGATGTGGTGCTTGGAACACTAGAACTAATCAAATCATCTTGTCTTCTACCAAAGGAGCAACTAAAGGAAAGAGTCATATCTCTATAGGATGTGTTTGTATGTGTATTCTATAGTTAATGTCTATACATTATAAGATTGATAAGGCTAGGGGAGATATAAAAAACTGTGTTCCTAAATACACCACCAGCTCCAGCACCAAGAGTTGCACCTACAACTTGCTAGAGTTTAGATGCTTTCACTAATTTGGTAGTGTATCATTTTCTTCCCCCATCTTTCAACAAAATGCAAAGATGATCTGATCTGATATTTTACATTATTTGGAACTGTTCCAGACCTTAAGGTCATGTCTGGTTGGGTCTGAGGAAAAACACTATGGTTTGGATTTACTCGAGGACAGTTAAAACTTTGACATTTTAAAGAAAATTGTTTTAGCAATGGGTCACATCCTTAGGAGTGATCCATGCCTTATTATATTTGTTTGTCTTTTACTGTATTTTTTGGTTGCTTTTAGCCATGAAATAATTATTTACCATTCTCCCTCCCCACAAATATAATATTACCAACATTCTAATTCAGGACATAGCTCTGAGTCCTAAGACAAGTGAAAATTTTCTAGGTCACCAAATAATGACCACGCTAATTAAGACACTGATCTATTTCAACTGCTCCAGTCAATTATATAAGGAGCTTCTTTTTTCATATGCTACAATCCAAAAGATACTTCATAATATATCAAATTAATTATACACACACACACAGCAGGACCTCAAATAATATTGTTTCGCTCAATGTCATTTCATTATAATGTTGGTGAGAAGCCATAGAAACTTAACTCTTATTTATATTAATCAGCCTAAAGTAAAACTGGTTTCATCATATGACATCTTGCTTAAAGTAGCAGAATCTACTGACCTTAAGTGAGGACTAAATGTAATATAATAGGAAGGCATCAGTAGGTACAGTTTCACTCATTTAAAAATATCTATTCTGTATTTTTAAATGTTTTATTTAAACATCAAATGATATATATACTTAAAAGCATTTTTTATATATTAAATTGAGGAATCCAAAACAATTGCCTCATATTTTTATAAAATACATAAAAGTTACTTAAGAATATATTACTACCTTTTATGATAAGTTGATCCTTCATTAATTGAGCTATTCCTTTTGAGATCATCTTCCCATTTTCTTCTTGTATAGGAACTACTTGTGCGCAAACTTGAAGAGTCTCTGTGAAAACAATATACTTCAGATTCTGATAATTTATAAGTAGGGTTAAGAAGCTGTACATTAAACATTAGTAGAAAGAGAAAGTTAAAAAAAAATCCCTTGGGAAAATACTTAGGAATATTTATTAAGAAGTGGAAGTAATTTCAGTTTTAAAATTCTATCCCTAATGTATAATGCTATATATAGGGGGGGAAATTGTCTATAGTTTTAGGAGGGGAAGTGGTTATTTTAATTCAACAGATCTATGCTATGGAATATTATGTACTAATGAAAAACAATGCTTATTGAAAGTATATATTAACATATAAGATTGCATATGAGATGTTAGATAAAAAAAGTCAAGATACAAAATTGGAGGTTTTAACATGATTACAACTATATTAAAAAGCTCACACTCTATGTGCTGAAAAATAGCAAAAATTAAACTAAATTAAATAGGGCATTTTCCCACCTTTCTTTCTCCTTTTCTGAGTGTTCTACATATTTAGAGAGTATGTGCTACCTTGTGACTTCATTTGCCACCACTGTCCCCTCGCTGTGCTCCACCACATACCTTTTTTCACTATTCATGAACATACCAAGCCAGAACTTCCTCAAGAGTCCTTGGTATTCTATTAAGAATACCCTCCCTCCCTTCCCACAATCCATATTCCACATTATTACAACAATGCTCATGCTTTAACTCTCATGCTAGATAATAAAATCTTTATAGGAAAGACAAAGCAAATCATAATGAATCTACCTGTTTTCTTTCTCTTCGATGTCAGATGTACTGGCTAGTCGTCTTGGTATTGTAGGTGCAACATATGCAAGTCTAGTTCCTTTACTATCTTTTTCCTACAAAACAGAAAAAAAAAGCCACAAGTGAAAATAAATGTGTAATCATTATAGATGCTGCCACGAGTATTTATTTATTTAACAGCCATCACAGTTTATTTATTTATTTATTTATTTATTTATTTATTTATTTATTTTCATCACAGTTTATTTAATAGTATTTCCACAGCTAAAATATAAAATTATTATATTAATAGTCAAGTACTGTAAACACTTAAGGACAGCCTGTTCAAACTAATTTTCTTTCTCCTTTAATCTAAAATTAGATAGCATTCTAACATAAGAAAAATTCTTCACATTTTAATGACTCTAAAACTACTGTAACAGATTACTTAATGTATCAGAAGGTAAACTATCCTTATGGTTCATTAATTAAGTCCCAATGACTTAACACTTACATTATACAAGAGGCCTGGTGCATGAAATTAGTGCGGGGGGGGGGGGGGGGGGAGGGGCTGAGGGAGGGGGCGGGAAAGTGAGTCCCTCAGCCCAGTCTGCACCCTCTTCAATCTGGAACCCCTCAAGGGATGTCCGACTGCCCATTTAGGCCCGATCCTATTGGGCAGTCGGACATCCCTCTCACAATTCAGGACTACGGGCTCCCAACCAGTAGCCTGCCTGCCTTTCTGATTGACCCTAACCACTTCTGCCTGCCAGCCTGATCGATGCCTAACTGCTCCCCTGCCAGCCTGATTGCTCCTAACTGCCCTCTCCTGCAGGCCTGGTCACCCCTAAATTCCCTCCCCTGCAGGCCTATCACTCTTTACTGCCCTCCCCTAAAGGCCTGGTCGCTCGCAACTTCCCTCCTCTGCTAGCCTGGTCACCCCTAACTGCCCTCCCCTTCAGGCTTGATTGCCCCAAACTGCCCTCCCTTGCAGGACTGGTCCCTCCCAACTGCCCTTCCCTGATGGTGGTGGCCATCTTGTGTCCACATGAGGGCAGGATCATTGACCACATGAGGGCAGCTATCTTGTGTTAAAGTGATGGTCAATTTGCATATTACTCTTTCATTAGATAGGATAAGATACTATATTGATATTTAACCCTTTAAAATGTAACAATACAATATTCAAAACAAAATTATTTAAATTATATATATCCAACTTTGGCTAAGAGTATTTAAACAATGATACCCATATATATGTTGAAAACAATAGGGCAATAAATTCATAAAAAATAAAAATATAAAATTATTTGATGCAAAATCCCATTTCTGAATTTCTGATACTATAAAACACTCCTAAACAGAGAGAAAAAACTCTATGGAAAAAAATCCAAGCACTAAAAATGCAGTAGAAAATAAATAATTTAACTATATAAAATAATGCTGAAGGAACTGTGGTGCATTCCATGTGATGCAATATAATACTGCCTTTCAAAATATAGTTAAAACTATTCATTAAGACAAAATTGACTGTGGCTGAAACCAGTTTGGCTCAGTAGATACAGCGTTGGCCTACAGACTGAAAGGTCTCAGGTTCGATTCCGGTCAAGGGTATGTACCTTGGTTGTGGGCACATACCCAGAAGGGGGTGTGCAAGAGGCAGCTGATGGATGATTCTCTCTCATTGATGTTTCTCTCTCAACGATGTTTCTAACTCTCTATCCTTCTCTCTTCCACTCTGTAAAAAAAATCAATAAAATATTAATATATTAAGAAAAAGAGAAAAAAAAAGACAAAATTGCCTGTGATGTATCAGATGGAAAAACAAATAAAAAAATTGCAGATACTAGATAAATGCAACTTAGGAGTATAATCACATTCTAGAATAAAAGTGTTCCTAAACTTTGGAAAACTTACCTAATAAAATAAACTTACTCCTTGATATCTTTTTTTGTAAATTCTCAAATAAGATCAAGGTTCCTTTATTAAGTGTAGTCTAATCATATGTAATGATTCCATATAGATAATTTAAGGTAGGTTCATTTGTATTGAAATTAAATCATTAAGTCAGGCCCGCTTAACCAGTTTGGCTCAGCAAATAGAGTGCTGGCCTGCAGACTGAAGGATCCCAGGTTTGATTCCGGTCAAGGGCATATACCTTGGTTGTGGGCACATCCTCAGTGGGAGATGTGCAGGAGGCAGCTGATCAATGTTTCTCTCTCACTGATGTTTCTAACTCTCTATTCCTCCCTCTTCCACTCTGTACCCCCCCCCCCCCCAAAAAAAAATCATTAAGTCAGGTGAATTAAGTTGATACATAGATCTAATGATACATAGCAGAAAATCTAAGAGATCGGATGTTCTTAGAAAACAAATCATTAGAGTTTTCATAGAAACCAGATTGTGAAATACATTACCTTTTCTTTATTATCCAAAGAGGAGGAGAGCCTGGGGCTTGATGCTGAGCGCATAACACCTGCAGTGTCTTTTTCTTTCTGAGACTCTTTAGATGCCGTGATCTCTGCAAGTGCACCATAACTACCAGTCTTTCTAAGTCCTAACCTCCATGATGCAGGAGACTCATCTTTTCTCTCTTCTTCTTTGGAAGAAATTTTTGTAGCTGAGGTTGGAAACTGTTTTTATTAAGGAGAAACAAAAAAGAATTATCAAGACATCATTCCTTAATCTGGAAATAATAAGTTTACAGGAAAAAAAGTTTAAAATTAGTTAATAGTTTCAAGAGTAATAACCCGTTTTACTAAGCAGGTTAATGTCTTAGTCAAAAGTGTAAAGATCTAAAACTGAAAAGGAATGAACTACTTTTCCAGAAGTTAGATTTAGAAAACACACTCCACACTTTATATCACACAGAAAAATTATGCTGCAAATACAAAGAAATGAGCACACCAATAAGGACTTAAAACCATGCATCTTTGGAACCAATATTCATATTAAACTTGTTATGTTGTAACTGAACATAAACCCTTGCACATTGAAATGCCTCACCATAGATTTTTCACCCTTACTGGGCACAAGAACAATGCCAGTTTTGCGCAAGCCCTGCCTCCATGATGCGGGATCTACTGATTCCACCACAGGCATGATAGGAGCAATGAACTCATACTAAAGCCAATTAAAATAAGACAGGTAAAGAGATAGATTGAAAGTATGAAAACAGAAAAGGAAGTTATGAAAAAAACAATACCACTTTTTTTTTTTATAAAATAATTTTACAATAAATTAAAACCCAGTTACTGGGTAATAATCCAATCTTTAAAAGTTACTGAAAACAAGTTGCACTTTCAGCATAAAAAATGTAAAGAATATAACAAACTTCTAACACAATCAAAGGCATATAGAGCAGATAATATTATAGAATATAAATGAACAAACTACTACACTTCAAAAAATTTTAAATTAATTTATATATTTGGGTTAAAAATTTAAATGTAGCATTATCAATAAAGAAGCAATAAGTGACATCTTCTAGTTACAGTTTTTTCAGTAATATCTTAATATCATAACCAATGTTTACTCTTTGATTTTTCCACTAAACATTAAACATTTTAACTAAAAACTTTTTTGGTACAAGTATTAATTTTATTTCCAGGGCTTTTCTTCCAACAACCCTAAAAATGAAATATCTGTTATCTTTAACTAGTTCACATCATCAACTTCACTTACAGAATTTAAATATTCAATCACAGTGAAATAAATACAGATGGTGAATATGCAACTAAATAGTTGCTACAAGCATAGGATATGGCTATTTAAAAAAAAAAATCCTTTCTTTCATATTTACTGCCAAAGTTTGCTATAATTAGCAATTTAATAGAGCTTGCTGAAGTACCCATGATGTCAAAGGGCCACTTTACCAGACAAAACTGTTATAAGATGCCTCTGGTACTTCCAGTAGTTAATTCCTATCAATAGGGATGAAAACAGACATATGATACACAACATTCCCCAAAGTGTGTACTGAGGCATTCCAGGGGGCAGAACAAAACCACAGGAGCACCCCTATGTTCATAGCAGCACAATTTACAATAGCTAGGATTTGGAAACAGCCTAGGTGCCCATCAGCAGATGATTGGATCCAAAAACTATGGTACATTTACACAATGGAATATTATGCAGCCATAAAAAAGAAAAATTTCTCGTTTGCAGCAACCTGGATGGAATTGGAGAACATCATGCTGAGTGAAACAAGCCAGTCAATGAAAGAGAGACACCACATGACCTCACTTATATATGGATGATAAAGAACATTACAAACTGAAGAACCAAAAGATAAATATAGAGACAGTAAAGCAACAAGCAGACTGTCAAATTACAGCGGGGAGGGTAGGGAGATCTGGGGGAGATAAACTATCAACTAAAGGACTTGTATACATGCATATAAGTACAACCAATGGACACAAAACTCTGGGGAGGGAGGGTATGTACGGGGGGGTGGGATTGGTATATATACAAAAATAATAATTAAAAAAAAAATCTATTTACAGCCAAAACCTGTTTGGCTCAGAAGATGGAGCGTCAGCTTGTGGACTGAATGGTCCCAGGTTCAATTCCGGTCAGGGGCGTGTACCTTGGTTGCTGGCACATCCCCAGTGGGGGAGTGTGCAGGAGGCAGCTGATCGATGTATCTCTCTCATTGATGTTTCTAACTCTTTATTCCTCTCTCTTCCTCTCTGTAAAAAATCAATAAAATATATTTTTTAAAAATCTAAAAAAAACCCACCAAAAACCACAGGAGCACTATGGGTATTTTAAAGTTTTTAAAGAAGCACAGTAACACCTGTTGGACACTGTACAAACTGTCATTATTAACTTATTTGCACTTAACTACTTAATAAATGAAACAAATAAGTATTTCTTTCCGCTAAGTGACACAGTGAAAAAATAAATTAGTAAGACACTAGGGGCTCCATGGATTGAAAAAGTCCAGGAACCACATGGCAAGCACTGAGGTGACTGGTAATTGATTTCTGAGATTAAAGTCTTAGTCCTCTAGAACAGGCGTTGGCAAACGCTTTTCTGTAAAGGGCCAAATTGTAAATTTTAGGCTTTGAGACCACAGTTATAGCTACTCAACTATGTTGTTGTAGCACAAAAGCAGCCAAAAGGAAATACGTAAGTGAAAAATGTGGTTGTGTTCCAATAAAACGTTATGTAGAAACACTGAAATTGGAATTTATGTCACAAAATATTCTTTTTATTTCCTCCCCCACAACCATTTAAAAAATGTGGAAGCCATTCCTACTTGTAGGCTATACAAAAGCAGGTAGTGTGGTCCAGCTTTGGTTCAAAGACCCTGGATACCAATCCCTGTCCTGAACCTCCCCAAAACTGGGAACAAATGTTACTTCTCCATGATAAAATGGTCAGATAGCAGATAACATTTATTGAATGTTGTAACAAAAACAAACATTTAACAAATGTTTATTGGTGTCAGGCCCTAAGCTAAGTGCTTCACATGTGTTATCTCATTTAATTTTCACAACCAGGAGAAGAAACTTGGAAAGAGAACCAAATGAAATACTATTACTATCGTAGAGTTGAAAAAAAAATGAAGCAGTATTATAAATTCTGAAATAAGTATTTGTTGCACTATAATGATGGACATACTTTCATTCTGCCCAACATGAATTTGCTTTTAAGTTCTGGTGTATATATTCAAAAGCACCTTTCAATTTTATTTGAAATATAAGGGAACTCCTCTAAATACTCACCACCTATACCCACTCACTTAACTCTTATTTTAACTTTAATGATAGGGCACTATTTTGACTTTCCTACTCTCCGGATCAGTCCCCTCTTTTGATCTTTTTGTCGTTCTTGTAATTATCAAATTTCCTTGTCATAACACTGCAACATAAGTACTCCAAGAGTTTATTATCAGATCTCCCATGTTCTCTTTCCAAGTTTCTTCTCCTGGTGGTTGGACATACGGTGTTGTCTACTTCTTCAAACTAAATATTAATTGCATTCAGCTTACTCTTCAATTTGTTACTCTCTAGCTCAATCTGACTTTTAAATTCCCATTCTTGATTATCCCTGAATTTCTATTTACCTTTAGAAAAAATACACAACACAACTTCTTATAGTTCAGATATCTTACCATTTAGTTGGGGACTTTCTATTACTTGAATGAGCCTTAAATCAATATGATTTTAATAAATGGTTTGTCCATTGAATGGTTGCTAATTCTGTAGATAATCTTACTGAGGACTATACAAAATGAAGGTGTGGTATCAAACTTTAGGTTGAAACAAACTTAAGAAAAACTATAATACTAAGTTGAAATACACAGAGTAATACTAAACATAATAAGAGGCTTTAAAAATCATACACTAATGATAAAAAGATCGCACCAACCATTAAAAAATAAGACTTCAAATTTTTTGTACACTATGAATTTACTGCTTTGAATAAAATTTGTCTATTAAACTTTAAAAAGCAGACTGAAACAATATAATCTTTAAATTAGGTTATGATGCTTAAAATTGAGAATTTGAATTTCTAAATATCAAGTATAGAAGCAAATATTTATTAGATTAATTACAAAATCAGAATTCTGAATAAGAATTTTATAAGCAAATAGGTTATTAGGTCACTAATCTAACAGAGTTATTATTTGTTTTTAATTAGGGTAGGTGGCGTAAAACAAGAAGTAAATTGCCATAAATCTGGGGCTATGCTTGAGAAAAATACAATTAATCACAAGAAGTCTATTGTAATTATTTGACTCTGGTAAGAAAGACATGGCTTAGCCAGTTTAATGGCCAACTATTCCAAGGGGATGAAGCTTTTGGGGAACTTTTAATAATCTACTTTCTAACAAATAATAAATCAAAAGAGCTCAAGTTTAGTATTCATTGAAGAAGTATATAGAGGTTATAGAATTAAATAAAACTTTAGTAAAAGCTTGTGGTGACACCAGTTATATATGGCATGAAAACCAAATTCTCCAGAAGCAGCTGGAGAATTCCATTTGAAGCATATATAATTTTAATCATATGAACATGGGATCTAGCTGAATTCAAGAAACCCTTAGTTCTAGACTGCAGAAGGTTAAGACAACTACTCATTTATATAGTTTAATGAGGACTATACAAAATGAAGGTGTGGTATCAAACTTTAGGTTGAAACAAACTTAAGAAAAACTATAATACTAAGTTGAAATACAAGTGAAATCCTCAAACAGTACAAGTGAAATCCATATATTTCTACCACTAACAATTCACATTATTGATTTCCTTAGGGAAAGTTGTAGAAGAGAATTATTATTAACAGTATAGATTAAAAAAAAAATTCTCTACTTCATGATTTTAAACGATTCACATTTTGATCACTTGGAGCCAAGACAAAAGATTAGCAAGACTGACAATATGATAGAAACACTATAGGGATTTTAACATCAGTCCTCAAACCCATGCAAGCCACATAATGTCAGACAAGCAACAAAATAAAAAATCCAAAAACAGAGAATGACAGCTACAATCCCTTAGTGCATCCTTGATTTGAAAATAACAAACAGTTAGGAAAACATAACTGTAACCAGGAGGGAAACTGGGGAAATCTTGAGTATGGTTTGCACATTAGTGAATATATCAAAGTTAAATTTCCTAGGTATGATAATGTATTATATCAAAGTTAAATTTCCTAAGTATGATAATTTTATTTTATTTATTTTATTTATTTATTTATTTATTTATTTAAAAAAATATATTTTATTGATCTTTCACAGAGAGAAAGAGAGAGGAATAGAGAGTTAGAAAGATTGATGAGAATCATTGATCAGCTGCTTCTTGTACACCCCCCACTGGGGATGTGCCCGCAACCAAGGTACATGCCCCTGACCGGAATCGAACCCGGGACCCTTCAGTCCGCAAGCCGATGCACCGGTTTTGGCTAAGTATGATAATTTTGGTGTGCGAGTGAAAGATAATGACTTTGTGCCTATGAGATACTCAAGTATATACAGCCAAGTATTATATTGACTATAACCAATTCTTAAATGGTTCCACAAAAAAGGTATGCGTGTGTTTGTGCATGTGTGCGTGTGTGTTTGTGTTTATATACAAAGAGGTACATGAGTATAATCTTTAAAGATAAGTAAGGGCTGGTGGAAAAGAAGAAAACTGATAAGTAGGTAAAAGACAACAACACAGAACTCTTAATCTTAAATATGGGTTTAAAGAGGTACAGGTTCTGAAGTAGAAGGAAAGTAAACTCTTTAAAAAGATAACACACTAGCCGAAACCGGTTTGGCTCAATGGATAGAGCATCGGTCTGCGGACTGAAAGGTCCCGGGTTCGATTCCGGTCAAGGGCATGTACATTGGTTGCGGGCACATCCCTGGTAGGAGGTGTGCAAGAGGCAGCTGGTCGATGTCTCTCTCTCATCGACGTTTCTAGTTCTCTATCTCTCTTCCTTCCTCTCTGTAGAAAAATCAATAATATATATATATATTTTAAAAAGGAGATCAAAGAGCAATACAAAATCATTAAAAAAAAAAAAAAGATAACACATTAGTTAGAAAGCACTGCTTGGTGAGAAAACAAGAAGGACAAAGAACAAATGGAGAACAGAATAAGGGAGAAGAGGAAGAAATGATTAACATTTTGGAAGCTTTAGTTACTAGCCAGACTCTCAATCAAAGATTACAACCTTAACTTCTTACTTACTGTAATTATTGTTTATATATACAATAGAGGCCCGATGCACAAGTAGACCTCCCCCCCTCCGGCTGTTGGCACTGGATTCCCTCTGGCAACTGGGCTTCTTTCCCACCACCCGCCAGCAGGCTCCTGGGACCCTGACTTCCCTTGCAGCCCTGGCTTCATCCGAAAAAACATCCTGTCTAATTAGCATATTATGCTTTCATAATTATAGTTTGTTTTTTTTTGACAGGTAAGGGAGATAATAACTCACTCAAGGCATAAACTTAAAACAGGTGGGGTCAGGAGCTAATCTGATTTGTCATCAAAGATCATGCTTTTTCTGGTATGCCGTACTTGCATGAGTAGTGCTTTGTATTGAGTTAGAAAATCTAGATTCTAGTATTTTCATTGACTTGTGGTAATACTTTTTGTGCTTAATTTAATGTTCATGTAAAACTACAAAAATGCACCTTTGCCAAAAAAAATAAATGATAAAAAAAAATCTGTTTCTCAGTTTCAAATGAAATAAAAACTACCATGATTCATTTTCATATGAAAAGTTTAATCTTACCACCATTTATTTCTGATAACTATTAATTATAATATCAACTGCAAAAAGCATTAAAATATAATGATTCGGAGGAAATCTAGCCAAATTAAAGAAAGAAAAATATATTCTTACTCCAAACCTTAAATATTTTGGGGAGAAATTATAAAAATTTAGAACTGTCTTAATGTATTTACCTAAATGGTATTTAAAAAGAAGATATGCATTTTTAGCAAACATAACTTTGGCTTACCTTTTTTATAGGTGATGTAGGCGTTGCCTGACCAGATGGCACAGTAGGTGTTGTAACTGCTACAGGAGCTGCTTGTGTACTAGAAGTATTGGCATTAGTTACAGAAGCCATGGGTTTTGTCTTATCTATTTCAATAAAAAAGAAGAAGAAGAAGAGAAACATTAAGAGTCCAGATGCTATATGAACTTGGTTTCAATGGTTGGGAAAATACATTTTACATTCCATTTTTATTTAAGGCTTTGTTAATTCAAAGTCTTGTCCCACTATTATTATCCCTTTTAACAAGTAAATTTTTAACTGAGTTTCTAGAAATGTCTCAGTATATATGTTAAAGTAAATAAAATAATATGAAAAAATACAACAAAGCTTCAAAAAATAAAAAAGCATTAATAGAATTTTACTTTTGTACTTTTAACATATGAAAATTTAAAACATCTTTTAAATTAATATTTAAAACTTGAATGAATAAGTTCAATGTAACTAAAAAAAATTACAAGAGCTGTGCAATCAATATTTTAATGTTTAAAAACTTTTATATCTAATGCTGATATTCTTTAGTCCAGAAATCTATAAGAGGTTTTTGTCAATAATCAGCTTAGATTCCTGACAAAAAGTATGCTTCAATGTCATAAAAAAATGCCTTTTCATCCCTAAAAAGTCAATAGTAAAATGGGCATAAAATCAGGTAAAATCTCTTTTCACAATGTATCAAGACAATTTCTAACTAGTAATGAATCGCTTAGCGAAAATTTTTTGAAAATATTAGAAAAATTAATCTGATGATAGAAAAACTCCAGATTGTATTTGAACATATAAATCTAGCTGGCTTTTACCAAAACGGTCACATATAATTTAAATTTTTAACTTTAATTTATAAATGAACTAGAAAAGTTACTTTCCAAATGGTCAAATGTCATTTTATCTAGTATTAAATTATTTCTCTGGTTTCAAAACGGGATAGGACTTTGAGAAAAAAGTATAGTGCTTTAGAGCTTTATGAAATACTCATTTTCATTATACAGTAGGTCCTCGGGTTACGTCAGAGATCCATCTGTTCATACGGCGTGACATAATGCGATTTTCGCTATAAGTCAGAACCCACCTACATAAATACCTACGTCACTCCCATGGAGCACACACACAGCAGTAATGAAGTGAAACAGTAAAGAAAGATAACAATTCCTGACCTTTACTTGTGGTAAATAAATGATAAAAAACATAAAGCACATATGTACATACATTGAAATGATGGAACTTTTTTTAAAATTATAAATAAATAATGATGTTACCATGAAACGACATACGTTGAGTCCGATGGAACCTGAGGACTACCTGTACTACATTATTCCCTTCCTTAGATCATTATTGTATGATGTTATACTTTACAAGTAGACTTTGGGGCAAGTATAAACATCCCACCAACAATCTGAATTTGCAATGATTCATTCACTTCTATTTGTAACTATAAAAACATCCATAAGATGTTAGTAAGTTGAAAAACATATCTCAAATTATACCCAAGGACATGGCCAAATGGTCACATTTGAAAACTACTAAACTTTAGGTTTTCAAATAAACTCAATCAGCTAGACTCAATCCAGAAAAATTTATTTTCATTGTTAATACCTCTTTTCCTTCAACAGAAGCTAAGTTTATCAGCACAGTTAAATACAAATCATAAATAATCTAATTAGCCCATCTTCCTAGAAAATAATCCATTTAAATGGAGCAAGTAATTCAACAAATATTTGTGGTCTCCAAACTGCAAATACTGTTTAGGTCCTGGGAATGTATCAGTCAATGAAAAGACAAACTATCTTAATTGCACAGAGTTTACAGTCTAGTCGAAGACATAAATAATAAAAGATAAAATTAAACAGATTTTCTTTTTTCTTTTCTCCCTATTTGCTTTTGGTTTAAAAATTTGTTTCTTATCAGTGAAAATACAAATCAAAGAATGTATATGCATGTATGTAAACACTTGTGGTTTAAGAATAATGAAACAAACTCCAGGTGTCTACTATCTAGCTTAAGTAAACATTATTAATATTGCTGAAATATTTCTATCCATTTGATTTCAATGAAGAATGAAAATTTTCCAAGTCCTAATGGAAAAAAAACCTAAAAGTAAAAACATAACTCCCTTTTCTCATTTCCTCCACTACATCTCAAATTTATAGTAAATTATTTGAAAGGAAATTATACTTTTGGTTAAGTTCCTATTTTCATCAGATTTATAAAAATACAAATTTAAAAACTAGTTTAATACATAATTTGTGAAAGAAAATTCAGCAAAATAGTTATTTTACATCAAAGAATTTCCCAAGAACATAACCATAAAAACGTAGAAAAAAGAAACAGTTTAGAAATTGTCAAATCAAGCTGTAGCTCTACAGGGAAATGGTTACTTTCTTAAGCTTGCCAAATAAAAGTATGATAAAGTCTTGTTGATATTAAAAGAGAGAGAAGGAGCCACACAGCATTTACATGGATTAATCCTCGAGATAGAGTCAAATTTTCCTGGCACCACTCACTATTAGCAACAGGAAGAACAAAATTATCATAGTACAATGCTTCTGAGGAACATTTAAACTTAGCTCAGTGAGAAACTAAGCAGAGAGTGATTGGTATGCTTAAGCCCCAAACAAGGAACTGATAGAATACAATTTGATGATAATTAATTCTATTTATATTTATAGAATAGTAGAGTTTAAAGAACTGTCCAGATCATCAAGTCAAATTCTTTTCATTTTACAAGCAAGGAAATTTCAACCAAAAGAGGTCAGGAAAATAGCTATTCAGTAGCAAGACAGCCTAAATCTGTCTTTTGTTTGTTTTAAATAGCTCCTTAATGTCTACCATTGAACAGTGAAGTATATAGAAAGGACCGATTTAAAAAAATATATATCAAAAAATCTCTTTGAGATGCCTGGATTTTCAGTTCTTAAATTCTACCATGAGTAGTAAAAGACAGATCTGGGTGCTAGTCCTGGCTTTTTTGTTGTTGTTGTTCACATGTGTATATAATCTAATTCCTAATTATAGGCATGTTGCACAAGGAAATTAACTACATAAAAAATAACATTATTTACTTACAAAAGTATCTGGACAATTTAAATTTAAATGATAATGTTTCATCTTGAACATGAGAAATAGCCCAAATTTAAATGCAGTGATATTAGGTTGGTATGTATATTGATCATATTTAAATCAATAATGTAAAATTTTACACACTATATGAAAACTAACACATAAAGCAATTGACTGCTATATAGTACCCAGATAAAGCAGGTATTATAACCAGGATTTTAGAGGAATCTGAAATTAAATAAGTCAACCATACCTACAATTACATGCATGTTCTTAAATACTGTGCATGCTGATTCTCATTATTTGCTTTTATAATTAGAAACATTTTAATTAGCATGTTATAGAAATAAATTATAATATTCAATGATTACCTGTTTGCTTTAGCTTCCAAATTTACCCACATTACTGTCTCACCAAGGCAAAAGTTATATTTACCTAACCAGCAATGTGATAGCAAAAAACAAAAATAAAATTAAGCCCTAAGTTATAAGAATGTACACACACAGACATATATACATATATATGAAATCTGTGTATTACTGAAAAATAATTTACTTGTCTTTCTAAAGAAAAAAAAAAAAAAGGAGAGGGGATTCAAAGGAAATCACCTGTCAACAAAGCTAGTCTGTATCTGTTTTAGCAACATCATTTTTAATGGGAAACATGTTCCTTGACATGTGTTAAATGTTAGCGTCTTCCATTTTCTTTTCTTAAAAAAAAATAAAAAAATAAATATATATATATATATATATATTATTGATTTTTTTTTACAGAGAGGAAGGGAGAGGGATAGAGAGTTAGAAACATCGATGAGAAACATTGATCAGCTGCCTCCTACACACCCCCTACTGGGGATGTGCTCATTACAAAGGTACATGACCCTGATTGGAACTGAATCCAGGACCTTCAGTTCCAAGGCCAATGCTCTATCCACTGAGCCAAACCTGTTAGGGCCCATTTTCTTATATGAAATATTTTGTTGAGTAAAAATAAAGTGATTCAAAACTGTTAATGTTTCTAGAAGAGATATAAATAGTACAAGAAATTCTAGGGTTTCATTTTGTGTTTACCAATGACCAAACTGGTTTTGATGACGACAGATTTTTCAGTGACTAAAAATCTTACTGGAAATGGTATATATTTTTTTTTCTGAGAAAGTTATATTAAAACACTAGGTTATACAATTCCAAGATTGTCAAATAGAATCTCATGCTGTTCAGAAGTTTTGAGTGATTAACTGATATAGAACAAGATAATAAATGTTAATTAATAAAAGCAATTTGATAAAATCTACAAAAATGTGGGTGAGAGAAAAAATACAGAAACAATTTCCTTAACTATATAAAGGAAAAGAATGTAAATTGTTATGGCAGCATTGGTAAAGCAATTTGGTAGCATCTATGAAAATTAAAAACATGACTAATATCGGGTGACAGATGATTTGACCTTGGGTGGTGTGCACAAAATGCAATATATAGATCTTGTAACATAGAAATGTACACTTAAAACCTATATAACCCTATTAACCATGTCACCCCAATAAATTTATTTTAAAAATAAACTAACAAAATAAGAAAATGTGACTAATATTTCAATTTCCAAGCATATCTACTAGAGAATCTCTTGTACTTATACATAAAGAGGCAATTAATACACAAATGATTACTGCAGCATTATTTGCAACAACAACAACAAAAAAAAGGGAATAAGGAATGTATTTATCCGAAGGGAAATTGATGTATTTAATGAATATTATATAGCAACTAAGGGGATAAGTTATATAGATAAAGATATAGATATGAACAAATCTAAAAAATACAACTTTTGAGTAAAACAAAGCAAGTTGCATAACAATTCCTAGAGGGTAAAAATAAAAACAAAGAACAACCTTATAATTATTTTGTATTATTTTTGAATGTACATGTAAGAAAGAGTATAAAAATGGACTAGAATATTACAGAAAGAAGTCATGATAGTAATTGCCTTAGGAAACAAAGGAAAGGGATATAAACTAGAATATATAAAGAAGACAACTTTAATGTTTTGATTTTATTAAAAGAAAAATTTAAAGCAAATATAGCTAAATGTCAACAGTTAATTAATTCTTAGGAATTAAAATATGAATGTTTATTATACTTTTACCATCTTTAAAATTTCTCAAAGTAAATTTACCTACATTCCAACAAGAAAGTGGGAGTGTAAGGAAATCTTGATCCATCTCCAACTTTCTAAAATTTTACTATATCTTGGGTAATATTTGGGATGCTGCTGGGACCTGCTTCTGGACTTTAGAGCCTCAGAAAATAATAAGACCATTGTTGAATTACTGTAAGTCCATTTAGACCTTATCTACAACATCCTAAGGGAGAGTTAGAATCTGTCTCTTTACTGTCAAACCTAAAAAGGTAAGAAAGAGACAGAGATGGACAGGAGATAGGAGCTTCCAGGTAATTAGGAAAAAAAAATCAAAAAAAAAATCACAACTATACTCCCTGAAAGGTAATTTACTGGCTTGATAAGTATCCAAACAAGTAACAAATAAGTCTGAAAAGTTTCAAAATTACTTAACACTTGATCTCAGTTTACTTAATATTTGACTAAAAAATCCTTGAAAATCCTTTTATCCTTCAAATTTTACCTGTTTCAGCTTCTGATTCTGAATCATCTTCCTCATCTTCTTCACTAGAGCAGCTAGATTCATCTTTCTTTCCTTCTTCTTCATCATCAACCTTTTCTTGTTCCAGTGATTCAATACGGGATGCATTTTTCTCTGGCTCAATAATCAATGTCTCTTTGCTGTAAAAGAAAAATAGCTTTCAAATAATTATAAGCACAGAAGGTCAAAATACTTAATTTTCCCCCAGACCTACAAACTTTAACAATCATGCCAATGGCCAGCATGCCAACTCATTCATAACAATAACAAAACCTACTTTTAATATTTTACTTACTTTTTAAAGGTCTTCTGTGATTGATTATTGTCCATATTAGCTGTTGATTCAATTAGTGGAGATTTCTTCTCTCGTTTTTCACTATGGAGCTTTATGAAAGTTAGGCAAAGGAAAATAAGAATACTATTAAAATAACATTAATTAGTAACATACAAAATTTAAAATAACAACAAGATACTTTTCCAAACACTAAAGACAACCAAAATAAAACAAATAAAATATTTAAGTTGTACCTTAAAAGGGCTTAGGTCAAGAATAAAAAAGACAAGATAATTAAAAAACTCTATGAATTTGGATTCTCTTAGATCCCTCTCAATTTTGTTTCACTAAAAAGTCAGGGTCCAATCACCACATAGGATGTCTGATATTATTTTACATAAAAATCTATTTTCTAGTAATATCACCCCTTGCTTATCCAGGGCCTGCTATTTGAGAAATCTGAGATTTTATAGCCTCTACTTTCTAATTGAATTAAAACATGTTATTATTTAGGACAAATACATTATAGAAGGATTCATTTTGTGAAGGGGAATTTAGAAATATAGGACTAAGCAACACAAGCAAACACAACACTACTTTGTTCTCTTTCACTGCCATTTTAATTTGATGGCCAGACCAGAAAGCATAAAATATCACAATGATATTTTTAATCTATCTGAAATTCAAAGCTATTAAGAAAAGTCACAAGTGTAGACAATTTTTAGACAGTCATCAAACTTACCAGATTTTGTTTCTTTTGCAATTCTTCTAAATATCCTAAAATGTCTTCATCTGCTACATCAAAGGCTGTCTGGCCCTACGTTGGAAACAACGGGGGGAGGGTGGTAATGGCATAAAGTCAATAAATTATAAAATGCATTTGGTGATTCTGTATGATTATACAGAAAAACGTTAGATAACTACTTTATGGTAGTTATAAAACATAGTATACATAACTCAAAGGAGATGTATGAGAAATCCATGTGAGAAGTAGATGATACACTATCCTTACTTTTTTTATAATAACTTTATATATTCACATACCATATAAATCACCCATTTGAAGTATACAACTCAATGGTTGTTATTTTTAGTACTAGAGGCCTGGTCCACAAAATTCAAGCACAGGATGGGGGGGGGGTGTGTGTCCTTCAGCCTAGCCTGCATCCTTTCCAATCTGGGACACCTCGAGGGATGTTAAACTGAGATAGGGTCTAAACAGGCAGTCGGACATTCCTCTCACAATCCAGGACTGCTAGCTCCCAACTGCTCACCTGCCTGCCTTCCTGATTGCCCCTAAATGCTTCTGCCTTCCAGCCTGACCACCCCCTAACCACTCCCATGCCAGCCTGATTAATGTCTAACTGCTCCCCTGCCAGCCTGTTTGCCCCCAACTTCCTTCCTCTGCCAGCCTGGTCACCCCTAACTGCCCTCCCTTGCAGACTTGGTCCCTTTCAACTGCCCTCCCTTGCAGGCTAACCAAATACAGGGTTTTTCCTGCTGCCTTCATTAGTCCTTATAATAACCCTACTGGTACAAGTTTCCAACATGCCAAAAGGTTCATTATTTATAATTTATTCTTCCCTATACGTTAGCCAATGCATGATTCTTTCTTAGAAAACATTTAACTTTTTTCAACTAGAAACCACTCTGAAAGGAAACTTAAATTTCTTTTATAACAGGTGTCCTCAGCCATACCAAAGCCAGACGGATAGATAATGATGACATAAATTCTTCCATTTAAAGGAAACAAAATTACAATCCTCATTCTATTCTATTAGCAGGGTGTTGACATATATTTAGACAGGAATTACATTTCCCAACACTATGAAATGAAATATAAGCTACTCGATATTTGAGCTAGTTTTTCCATTGTCAGTTTATAAAAGATATGGTTTACAACATATATCTTAAAAATGAATAAAATGCTTCTTAATCACAATAGGGAATGTATGACATTTAAAATTTATAAGATTGAAGAACACTTTTATATCTGCCTTTTCTTATTAGGAAGTCTTCCCAGTAGGAAAGACTTTCCCACCTCATTCAAACGTTTTAGCTTTAATAAATCTTTCCCCCCCCATTTCCACCTTGAGTATTAAATGCTGAGAATTGAATTCCTAAAGAATAAAGGGCTTTGAGACAAAACAACTGGCTCAAAATTACAAAGTGACTTTTAGATTAGCCACAGATGCTAATCCTTATTTTACTATACCATAATCTTTCTGTATGATTAGATCTATAATATGACATATGTTGTACTTGCTAAGCAAAGTTTGCAACATGCCAAATGGTTCATTATTTATAACATTTATGAAATATAAGTTATTATGTGGAAATATCTCACTGGTTTCTTTTTAAGTATTATTTTAAGCATTTATCAACCTTTCTCATAAAGAAATACCGCACTTTTAAAAATTATAATAAAATTTTAGCAGTAATTAAGCACAATGCGGTTATTTTAGAACCAAGGAATTTTCTTTTATAAGAATAATAAACAGGATCACCTTACTAACCTTTCTTTTTACTTTCTCCCTTAATAATCGAGTCTACTTCACAAACAGCAGCTGATAGAGAATAAAAACTAGAGTAAAATGTAGGCCATAAACACTGAGAAGTTTCTAATTTTAAAGAGCACACCCATTAACTTAACTCAATAACTTAACCATTATCTTTAAACAATAACTAAAACAGTTTTGAAGCCTATCTAACTGTAACTATTATACTATAGGCTACAATGCTTCATTAATAGGGTACTAAAAAGTAGGGCATATAAGCAGTCACTCAAAGCAACCAGGAAACTATTGAGGAGGGCACAATGCTTAAACAAATCAGTTCACTACATCTGTAAATTACTAGAGCCACTGTTTAACTGTACAGTCTTTATTCTTCCTTCCTCACTGACTCTAACTGAATTGCCTTTGCAGGTATGATCTTTCTTTTATCTTTACAACAGTGAAGTAGTCAGGACAAGCATTATTATGATTCCCATTATACAAATGAGGGAACTCGGGCTCTGAGGTTATGGTATTTGTCCAAAGTCATGCAGTTAATGAAGAGAAAGTGGGAACAGAATCTGTCTCCACTGCTATATTATCTTTTCAGAAAAGAATAAGCTCAGATAGAATCAGGAAAAACAATCCTTGTGTCCATCAATAACAGCAGCAGTTTTGTTATTCATCTAAATCTTTATAATGAAAGCTATTAAGCTAAACAGTTGTCTACTAATGATTGTAATACCACATTCAGAGAAAATTCCAATTATAAAGGTACCATAGTTAATATTTGGGTACATTCTCGTAAAATAATTCTTTTAATTAGTTAATGAAGCAAAATAAAAACTTTTCTATTTAAAATCTGTATCAGAACTTATAGTAAGTTAAAATGACAGCAAATGTGCTTAGAATTTGCAAATAAATTAAAGAAACAAGACTAAATTTCTAAATATAATTTGAGCACATTTCCCCCATTTTCACATAGAAAAACTTTTATATCTTTCTCTACATTTTCCATATTATATATCTCCCCAAATTATGTTTTCTATTAAAGAATTTATCTAAACTCTCTGAAAGTACCTTTACATTTTAAAATATCATTTAAAAAAATTAGTAAAAAAATTCGATCTACAAGTAACTATCAAATGACAAGATAAATTCATATAGGCAGGCTTATACAATTAAGACTAATTTGTTTTGATTGAATTTGAAGTATTAGATGTTATTTTAAAATGAAAAGAGAAACAGCCTAAGTCACACAGGAAAAATTGTAAATAAATAAAAAGCGTGTATTTGGTTATATTTATGCCACAAAAGCCTTCAAAATCTTATGTATATTATGCAGCCCCTTCCTATTAAATCTTAATATTTTAAGAGAAAAATATTTGAATATAAATTTAAAAATCATATTTTTACAACTTATGAGTCGGTATCTCATAAAACATGAGAACTCAAAAACTAAGAAAAGTTGCAGAAAAACTTAGCAGACTAAAAGGAAACAATTATTAGGGCATTATGAAAATTATTCCATTTCTCTGATTATGTTCGTCCTGAATTTGCAAAACTCAGATAACAACTTCATAATAATTGTTAAAAGGCTAGCATTGTTTTAAATATGTTGAAAACTGAAAAATTCTAAGGAATTATGAGCACAATTCTCTTAAGATCAGATAAAGATCGACTAAAAGCGATAAAATGAGGAGATAAGGTATTAAAACATACCTTAATACATTAAAAAAAGGTGACCCAAGGAACTGCTAGCATAGTAATATAGAAACAAGGTAAAGCGAAATGATTATTTAAATTATTTGAGGGCGAGAGTAATGAGAGGGAGAGAGAGAAACACTGATGTAAAAGAAAAACATAGATGGGCTGCCTCCTATACAAGCCTTGATTACGGAGCAAACCCGAAACCTGGGTATGTGTCCTGACCAGAATCCAACTCGCCACCCTTCAGTGCACAGGATGATGCTTCAACCAACTGAAGCCACACTGGCCAGGGCCAAAATTACTTTACATGTAGTTATTTTTCCTAGAGTATAATTATAAATTAAACGGCATAGGAATTAGACAACGATAGAACAGATGCAAGATAAAATGACTTTTTTCTTATACATACTATATTATGTACATGTTTTAGAGCAAAACAACATGTTTTAAGTAAAGTGTTATAACCCTTTTGGAAAACCATTTCAAGCAATAAGCTTTTCTCTTTTGAACCTTAAATGGAGGCCATTATCACTGAATAAACCAGTATTAGCACTCACTTTGTCAGTGGACAAGTGGCTTTTAGGGGCACAATTTGGTATGCAGAACAGAGATCAGAAGTTAACAAATATTCATTTGCTAATTTCTCCAGAAAAATACTAACTGCTGAGGGGGATTTTTACACAGGAGAGGAATATGAATTATCAAGCTAAAATTAGCTGGCCTTTAACTTAAAATTAAATAGTATCAACATGTATTCATCTTCTAATGATGATTACAAAACAGAAAACAGTTATTTTAAGAATAGACAAAGCAACTTATCAAGTTTTGATAAAAATTTAGATTGAAGACACTTATTTATAAGGGCAAACCTATACAAATGTATCATTTTCAAACATTTTTATTCAGAGGGCTTCTTTATCTTTTTATGTCAGCAACCAGGACATGAATCTGCACTACTACCTCAACCTACAAACACTCGTGGGAAAATCTTGGATATGTATATGTCTTCCCTTTGCAGATTACCAGTTGGAACATGCAGTTACTAGAATAACAGTACGAGCACCCATATTTAATGAACACAATAGAATTAGATGTACCCATCTTGACAAAGAAGGGTGAGATCATTTTAGAAACCTATACTAAGTAATTTAGTATACATTACTAAATTAGCTTATGAAATGCAATATATAAATGATATTCAAAGGAAGTTAAGGATAATTAAGCTCACTAAAAGAAACAGGTTTTGAGCTCTACCAAACCAACTGTTGGTAAATGATCCTTATTACCTACTGCCAGGGAGTGGGAGGGAACTAGTAAGAATATTGTTGACATTGGTAACTTACTGATGGCACTTGAAAGGGAGCAGAGGAGAAAAATATAATCTAATAAGGAATCTGATAACTTGAATATATTCATGACATTTGCTTCTTCTATCTAATTGGGTGATATTAAAGTAAATAATTTACCTCACTAAACTTTTCCCATTTGCAAAACTAGGAGACTAGATGTTGCATTTCAATGATCTTATTTGGCATAAAACTTTATGGTTTTTACCATTCTTTTCTGATATACTAATAAGATCCTATGTTGTGGAGCAAAGGTGAGTGAATGACCACTGTAGCCCAGACCAAATTAAAATTTAGGGAGCCTTTATTAGCTAGCCGGGTGAGTGACTAGCAGGGCGACTGCTCTGCCATTCTCAATGCAGGGAATCCGGAAAGCAGCAGTAACCCTTTGTGTAGGACCCCTTTTAAGCCCATTAACCACATCTGCAGAACAAGCAACCCAAGACAAAACAATTTTCCCAAGCTATGTCAGGGTCATGCCATTTACGGCCATGTTATTCACAGGGTCATCCTGTTCTTCAGAGAGCTGACAGTTTTCTATGAAAGAAGGCCTATGTGCTGGGAAGGGGCCATGAGATCATATCTCAAGGCCTGGCCTGGTGTCAGCACTGACATCTCTATCTGGGGTATAGTCCATGGCCTCTCCGGAATGGGCAAAAATTACCACTCTCCAACACCTACTATCCATGTCAGTTAAAAAGCTTCTATAAGAAAGCTAATAAGACTATCAGGAACAAAAAAATTAGAAACTGACTTCTGCATGTGTTCCAATTCATAAATATAATGACGGAAGAAAACATATAGAGATGCAAAATGTTATGAATTCTAAAGAATATAATTTCAACTGAAGTACCCAATCCTATGCTATATGTATGATAATATGATTACAGAAAGAGTAATAATTCTTTCTTTGCAGAATAAGGTCAAAACTACATCATCAGTAGCTGAAAAAGATTTAATTAATAATATTCTTTTAATATTCTAAGACTAAAAGTTAAAATGTTTAATATACAGTAAAAAGGCCTACCACTTTGTTGACCATCTCCATATCACACAGATTGTCCACTAATATTCGACATGCTTCTTCTTTACCCCAGTGAGCTGCAGCATGGAGAGGTGTCCAGCCATCAAAATCTTTAATATTAACATCATAGCCTGCCTGTATTAAAAGTCTAAAGAAATTATAGTAAGTTAGATAATCATTAAAATCTAGAAATGAACAAATGTAACCAATAGCTTTATACCATGCGAGTTAACAAAATTTGCAATATACTTCTCTTTTCATAGTTCAACCCTCCCTTACATTAATGAAATGAAACAGGGCAAAAGAAATTCTCAGAAAACACTGGCAAAGAGCATCTTGAGTTACTGCCATAATGCATTCAGCTTTAATTAATTCCTAGTGATTATAAGTCTTATGGTGTGACACTGATTAATACTTGTTAATATGACCTATAATTAAAATTTTTAGAGGAAAGCCTATAATTTTTCAATGTGAGATCATTCATTGCAGGGAAATCTTCAGGTGTCCATATGAAAAATCATCTCAGGCTAAATGTATTCTAAAAAATATACCTGGATCAAGCAAGCTTACTTCATAGTATTTTTGTTTTCTTACAGTATAGGAATTAGTTTGTGAAAGTTTTCAGAAATCTTTATGATCTACCGTGGAAAATTTTCAGAGGAAAATGACAATATGACTGTTAGGAACAAACAAAACAAAGCAAAACAAATATTCCAAGGGCCCAGTCTACTTTTCTGCAGCAGTAGAAAGCAGATATCCAATCATCAACAAAGCTAGAAAACAGGAATACATTTTAATACAATGCAAAGGGTTACACAACTTATGTTAGTATACCCTTCTAACTGTACAATGACATCAACCTTTATTTTACTTAGAAATTAAGCTCACAGAGAGCAAAGAATGGGCCCATAAATTGCACATAGCACAGCTCCACACACACAGGCAAAACACTAAATACTTTACAACTCATGAAATCTGGTGACCTTTACCTTACTTTCCAAGATGTTGAACTTGAGAAGGGCTTCTTTTTACCTACAGAAGGTGGTAGTGATAGCTAATACATAACCCTTCCTTTATTTATGTTTTAAGTACTAGTTCCCTATTTCCTAACAATATCTAAAGCAGTGGTGTCCAATTCTGGCTCCAGAACAGAACCACTTGAAGAGTTTGTTAAAAAACAACAACAAAGATTCCCTAGCTCCACTGTAGACCTCTTAGATTAAGCAGCATATTAGGGTAAGTTCCTGTAAATCTATATTTTTAGTAAGTCCCCATATGATTCTCATACCGTGATTGTCACCTACCTGCAGACCAACCTTTAAGAGCCACCAAAAGCAGGCTAACACATATATATCCAGAGGTTTAAATAAAAATATATCCATTAATACATGAATTATCAGGAAATTTATTTAAGAGACAAAAATAATACTGGGATATAAGAAAATAAAATATATCCCCCATTAGAAAATATGAATTATAATGATATTAAATATCCTAAACAATATAAAATTTTAAGTACCTGGGAGCCTGTTTGGAGAGAAGAGTCAGGAAGGTAAATACATTCCCTCCCCTCTCCACCCCCAAATAGATGGTTCTCTGTATATGCCGGGCCACAAAAAGATACTAAAAAATGTAAGACAGTACTTACATTCAAAGACTTCTAATGAAGGACAAAAATCTAGTAAGTAAAACAACAATCAACCCCCACAGATAGATTCTGTAATGGGGATGCAATGGCAATACATAACTGAAAATCATCAAAATCAACTGAAAGAATTGTGTGCGTTTTTTGGGAAAAGAGTACGTGGGAGGAATAAGCCAGTCAGAGAAAGCCATGTATCACATGATCTCACTCATATGTGGAATCTAAAGAACAAAATTTACTGATGAACAAAACAGAACCAGAGTCATAGAAGTATGAAATAGACTGTCAAACCTCAGAGGGAAGACAGGGTGGGTGAGAAGAGATTAACTGAAGAACTTATATGCATATATATTATACATAACCCATGGATACAGACAATAGTGTGGTGAAAGCCTGGAAGGGGTGGCGACAGGTGTGGGCTAGAAGGGATCAATAGGGGGGGAAAAAGGAGACATCTTTAATTCTTTCAACAATAAAGATAATTTTTTTTAAAAAAGAATACATTTGAAAAAGATACTCTATATTTTATTTCACATGTATTTTTATTTATGTATTTTCATAAATAATATATTCACAAGCTTCAAAACTGGCGAAGAATAAGTGGCTATATAGCAAAGTCAGTCTCTTACTGCTAACCTTTAACCAGTTTCACCTCCCTAAAGATAACCATACTATACTAGAGGCCTGATGCACTAAGGTTTGTGCAACAATTGGCCTTCCTTCCCCTGGTTGCCGTCACTGCCTTCGCTCCGGCCAGAGCCCTTTCTGCCTTCCCACACTGCCCAGAAGCCCGGAGCAGCTGGGGCAATGCACAATGCCTGTATTGTAGTCAAGGTGATTACACAAGCATCCTGCCCCTACCTGGTCCTTGGCACCTGCCAATTAACCTGCCATATTTGTTGAGTTAATTTGCATAACCACTCCTGATTGGCTTCTGGGCATTGCAAATGCAGTCAATTTGCATATTACTCTTTTATTAGTGTAGATGTTTTTATTGAATGCTTAGAGAAATTTTATGCATATTAAGTACAACTAAAAATGTTAAGTAAATACAGATTATACACACTTTTCTCCTTGGTTTTTGACATTTAAAAATATGCCCTAGCACTCTTTCAATATTTATATGTAGTGTTTTTTAATCTTCACTTAAGGAGTGAGGATATTTTTTACATTGATTTTTAGAGAGAGTAGAAGGGAGGGGAAAGAGTGGGGGAGAAATACAGATATGAGATAGATACATTGATTAGTTGCTTCATGTATAAGCCCCAACTAGGGGTGGGGTTCAAATCTGCAACGCAGGTACCTGCCCCTGACTGGAATTAAACTGTGATCCTCCAGTGTGCAGGCTGATGCTCTAAAGCACCAAGCCACAGGGCCAGGGCTATATGTACTGTTTTAATTGCTACAGAGTATCCAAGTGAAAGGATGTATCATATTCATTCAACCATTCTCCTACCTATATATTACAAACAGCACTGTTCCCACATACCTTACTTCCTATGTGAGTGAGAATAACTGTTAAAAAAAAATTCCCAGAGGTAGAACTGGTAAGATAAAGAATAACTGTTACTTTAACAGAATTTGCTCATCAATTGTCATTTATACTGCCAAACATTTTGATTTTTGTTATATGATAGATAAATTGATAATTCATTATAGTTTATCTGCAGTTATGAATGAGGTTGAACATTTAATTTTAATTTTTCATAGGCTTAAGAGGCTTGAACTGAGTTAAAAGACTGAAAGAAATGTGCCTTTAAGTTGAAGCAATGGTGAATAAAGATTATTTAGACAGCAACAAGAGTAGGATATTAAGACATCATGATAGAATTTTAAGTACTTAGATGAAATAATGTATGCCTAAAGAGCAATGATAGCAGCTTAATTTAAAAAGGAGCCAGTGGCCAGATAATAAATGGTCTTATTTGCTTAGTTCAGGAGTTTAACATATATTCTAATTTCTACTGAGAATCTTAATGAAGGATTTTAAGAGCCTGGATAACCTAATTATAAAGACCACTTGAAAACAGCCTAGAATCTGTTTTACAGTGTAATCTAGTATATATATCCCCCAGCCTGCACCCTTTCTAATCTGGGAAACCTCGAGGGATGTTCAACTGCCTTTTTAGGTCCAATCCGAGATCGGACCTAAAAGGACAGTAGGACATTGCTCTCACAATCCAGGACTGCTGGCTTCCAACCACTCGCCTGCCTGCATGCCTGATTGCTCCTAACTGTTTCTGCCTGCCAGCCTGATCACCCCCTAACCACTCCCCTGCCAGCCTGAATGACGCCTAATTGCTCCCCTCCTAGCCCAATTGCCCCTAACTGCCCTCCCCTGCTGGCCTGGTCACCCCTAACTGCCCTCCCTTGTTGGCCTGGTTGCCCCAAACTGTCCTCCCTGCAGGCCTGGTTGCCCCCAATGCCTCTTCCCTGAAGGCTTTGTCCCTACCAAATGCCCTCCCCTGCAGGCCTAGTCACCCCTAACTGCCCTCCCCTGCCAACTTGATCACCCCTAACTGCCCTCCCCTGCAGGCCTGATCACCCCCAACTGCTTTCCCCTGCAGGCCTGGTCCCTCCCAACTACCCTCCCCTGCCGGCCATCTTGTGGTGGCCATATTGTGTCCAGGTGGGGCGGCCATCTTGTGTTGGAGTGATGGTCAATTTGCATATGATCTCTTTATTATATAACAGATATATATAATTAGTATATGTTTACAGAAAAAAGAGTTTTAACAAGTCACATTTATCTTTACCATATGCAATACCCTTTGATATTTCCAATTCTTTCTTAAAACAACAACAACAAACCCTAATGGCGACTCACTAAGTTCATTTCATGACCTGTTAATGGAGTCTGAAAGTTTGAAAAATTTTGGATTAGAGAGAGCCAGGCAGGGGACAAGGAAAGTAATATGGAGTTAACTGTACTACTCCAAGAGAAGCCTTAAATTATTAAAATGTAGGGACTGAAAAAAGGAGGCAATCTGGGAATAGTTGACACACACTGCTTCACTATTTTTACTGAGGAGAGGGAATAAGAACATGACATTAGAAACCCAACAAGAATAAAAACAATATAAAGGACACAGTAGATTTTTCTAGGGCCAGTCTAATTTCCTTTCACATACACATAACAAATGCTATGCACTAAATTATTTTTTTCACATAGTTGCCAACACCTTTGTATTACATAAGTAAAAAACAAATAAACCCACAAAAATTTGTGATATAAAAAACTTGGCACCAAAAAAAAATTGATCAAAATATATCCCTAAATTGCTTACAGCTTGATATTTAATATTATGCTAATAGAACTTGAGACCAGTATACATATAGTAAAAAGAAACTATTCAGATAAATTAAATGTTAACAAATGTTCAATGGAAACTAAACTCTTAGAATTTTGAGAATTAAGCTCTCAGAATATATAAACAGAAATATGTTAACATATGACATAGTTCTTAGTCTCAGAAACCAAAGTTTCTGGGAACCCCAAAATGACTGTAATAGTTTATTAGCCCAAAAGGTAACAGGTAATGGTTGTCTGATACTTATTTACTTATTGGAAAATTGCAACTAAAGAAACAACTGTAAAATAATAAAAACTTGAGACTGAAAGAAACATAGCAATAATATTCAAGGTAGTTTTTCTTCTGTAAATGAACGCTAGCTTTTATAGGCTGTGTTGAAATGTTTGCAGGGTGTCTTAAAAAAAGGAACACCAAATTAAACAAAACAACTCAAAGTAAGAAAACAACTGTGAAAAATAATACTTACTTTAAGACTTCTGTATAGCCTTTAGCTGCTGCAACATGAAGTGCTGTACCTCCAGATTTTGCATGCCGGACATCATTTATATGACCACTATTTAGCCATTGTCTTGCATCTCTTAGCATTATCCGTTCTTCTTCCTTTCGAGCTGCTTCTATATCAACACCTGATAAAATTAAAATTGTTTTTATTATTCTTTACAGAAAATGTTTTTCTATGTTGAAAAATAAAATTTTCTAAAACATTTTAAGTTTAAACAAAGATTAAAAGTGAAATTATATTTTTTAAAATGGGCTGCTTATAACAAACTGGTTAAATGAAAAAATGTGGGAATATTGTGGAAATTTCATTAGCCTTCTCTCCTGATTATTTAGACTCTGTCCCATAATATTATTTTGGCTATTCTTTTAACTTTTCTGATTATTCCTTTTGTTTTTAAAATGTGAATATTTACCTAAGTATATCATCTCTTGATAAAAAAAAAAGTTTTTTTTTCAAAAAAAAAATCTATCATATGTAATTATGCCTCATATTCCTATCTACTGCTTTAACCAATTCTCTGAACTCTAACCTATTGGGTACAAATGTTTACTAAACACTTCAAGTTGGAGGTGCTGTCTCCATCTAAAATTGACCAGACCTTAAGACAGATTATCTGGTTAGCAAACACTCTTTCCTTTTCCAACATACTCAAAAGGAACAGGATACTCTAGTTTTTACCTTCCAAGAGATCAGTAACCTGAGAAAAAAAAGTAAAATAGAAAAGATAATCCTGAAATTCATGAATGATCTCTGGACTTACTGCTTCATCTGCAGGCTATTTAACAATGCATTAACAATCTTAGTAGAGAAGAATATTAAAGGTAAAGATAGTGCTTTTTTAATCTTGTATCCCCACTGTTTGGATGAGGTGGATGAGTACTTCACATAAAGTAAAAGGGATCAATAAGTAAATGTTTACTAAATGAATAGAGTAAATAAATGAGTATAAAATCACACACAACACACACATACATCTCCTCAGTTAAGATATCTCCTATAGGTCATATGTATGTACCCAACTATCTATTCAGGATTTTTCATCCATCCATCCATCTATCCATTCAATATGTACTGAGTGTCTACTATATGTTAGCTACTTTACAAGTTTCTATGGGTTCAGAAATGAACTTATGTGGCAGAAGATAATACATTTGTGAAGAAAAATAAAGCAGAATAGAAGGAAAGGGGGTAATGAGAAAGAGGTGTTATCTCATATGAGATGGTAAAGAACAGTCTCTTTGATAAGGTGATATTTGGAGCAAGAAAAAAAAGTGAGTGACAGCTATGCTACAATATGGGAGACCATTCCAAGCAGAGGGAAGTAATAGGCTCAAGACAGAAATTTACTAAGAATGATCTTTTGATTAGAAAAATCAGGGTATCTACAATGAGCAGGGTGATACAATATGACTTAATTTAAGAGGACCACTTAAACTAGAAAGTTATTAAGAGCAGAAACTGATGTGTTAATTAGAAGACTACTGAAATATCCAGAGAAAAGATTATAGTTACTAAAACCAGGGTGGTAGCAGTGAAGTTAGTAAAGAGGTTAGATTTTGGGTTCTTCAATAACAGATAGAATTTGCTGATAGTTTCGATGTAGGAGAAAAAGAGAAGTCAAGGATGAAGCTAAGGTTTTTAGCCTGAGCAATATGAAAACTAAGATTTTAATATGAACAATTTAAAGTTTGAGATGTCCCAATAGACATTTAATTAGAGATATCAAGTAGTCAAGAGGATATTTGAATATGGTGAACAGAAAAGAGTTCAAGACTAGGCAAATGATTTAAAAAGCCAGAGAACACCGAAACAACCAGAATGACCAGTCACAATGACGCCCACTGAGCCAGCAAACCTACCCAACTGGGATGGGGCCGGCTGGACAACCTCCTGGGGCCACTCCCCCAAGCTGCCTTGCCCCTGATTGGCCTCTCCCACCCTAATTGAGGTCAGGGTGGCTGGCCAACTGCCCTGCGGTCCTTTCCCCCAGGGCAGCCCCACCCAGATCAGCCCCCAGCTTCTCCCCCTGGCTGGCCCCACTCCCAATGGGGCCCCACCACCCTGATCTACCCAAAGCCTGACCACAGCACTGATCATGCTCCCCCCCCCCATAGGGGGCAGGGCAGCCAGCCAACCTCCTACATTCCCTCCCCCCTGCTGGCCCCACCCCGGATGGGCACCCACAACACCAATCAGGGGCAGGGCTGGCTGAGCAACTGCCTGTGACCCCTCTCTGCAGCTAGCTCCGCCCCTGATCAGCTCCTCCCACTCTGATCAGAAGCAGAGCTGATTGCCCAACTACCCATGGCCCCTCCCCCAGGTGGCTGGGCCCCTATCAGCCCCCTATTTGGGGGCAGGGGCTGCTGGCTCACTACCCACAGTCCCTCCCCCCCAGCTGGCCTGGCTCTGATCAAGCCCAGATGGAAGTGGGCTGGCTGCCCAACCTCCTGCCATCTCCTTCTCCTGACAGGCCTGGCCCCAATCCACCCATTGGAGCTGGACAGGCCAGACTCCACATGTGCATGAATTCATACACTGGGCCTCTAGTCCTATAGAATAAAGAGCTAATATGCAAATTGACCATCACTCCAACACACAAGATGGCCACCCCCATGTGGACACAAGATGACTGGCAGGGGAGGGCAGTGTGGGTGATCAGGCCTGCAGGGAGGACAGTTAGAGGTGACCTGGCTGGCAGATGAGGGCAGTTGGGGGCAATCAAGCCAGCAGGGGAGGGCAGTTGGGAGGGATCCGCCTGCAGGGGAGGGCAGTTGGGGGTGACCAGGCCAGTAAGGAAGGGCAATTGGGGGTGATCAGGCCTGCAGGAGAGGGCAATTGAGAGGGGCCAGACTTGCAAGGCAGTGCAGTTGGGGGTGACCAGGCCAGCAAGGGAGGGCAGTTAGGGGCTACCAGACCAACAGGGGAGGGCAATTAGGGGCAACCAGGCCAGCAGGGGAGGGCAATTGGGGATGACCAGGCCTGCAGGGGAGGACAGTTAGGGGTGACCAGCCTAGCAAGGAAGGGCAGTTAGGGGCAATTGGGCCAGCAGGGGAGCAGTTAGGCATCAATAAGGCTGGCAGGGGAATAGTTAGGGGGCAATGAGGTTGACAGGCAGAAGCGGTTAGGGGCAATCAGACAGGCAGGCAGGCAGACGAGCAGTAAGGAGCCAGCAGTCCAGGACTGTGAGAGGGATTAGGCCTGAACAGGCAGTTGGACATCCCTCAAGGTGTCCCAGATTGGAGGGCGCAGGTTGGGCTGAGGGACACCCCCCCCTACCCCCCCGCACAAATTGCATGCACAGGGCCTCTAGTTAATCAATAATGAATGAATCATTACAATTAAAATCAGCATTGTTAACAGTTTCCTTTATACGAAAGGGAACCAAAGGCAAGAAGTTTTCAGTATATCTCCATACCTTCCTTAGTTCATAATTGCTAACATTAAACAGTATAAAAAGATTTATTTAACCAGTTTTACAGGAAATTGTTAGCTATCTGGGCACTCATTAGGGCTGGATGAAAGATAAGGTACCCTTCTTTTTAGCTTGTGATGTGTTATATGCATTCTTCCAGTTCCTCAAGTCTTAAAGATCCTATTACCCCAAAATGCCTGCCTATAGCATAGTTATTAAAAGTTTTTCTGTGTATTTATTCAAACTTCAATTTAAGACAACTTTTCTAATGTGTGTGTCTGTTTCTCCTATTATTTTCAACCACTTGTCATAATTCCTCAATTCTATTTAGGCACTTAAATATTTTCTCAGTTTTAGTGCCTAAGACTTCTTTTTAAACAACTGAGTAGTCATTATGCATTTCCTTAATCCCAAGGAATAAAAAAAATCTCTTTTCTAGGAACAACTGAGAAGTCATTAGGAATTCTCCTAATCCCAAGAAATAAAAATCTCTTTTCAAGGAACTGGTTTAGATTCTATTCCTTAAACCCTATTACATGATGAATCACACTTCAGCAGCAGTCAACCCTCTAAACCAATATTCATACTTTTCTTTTACCTTTTAATCTTAGTAAAACACATTTCTCTTCTGATAATAACCATTTAATCATTGCCACAATGAAGTATATTGGAAATCACTATATATAATGATTTATATATATTTAAAATTTTAATTGTAGTAAAATACATGGAACATAAAATGTGCTGTCTTCAATAACCATTGTAAAGTATATAGTTAAATAGTGTTAAGTACATTTATATTGTTGTGTAAACCAATTCCCAAACTCTTTTCATCTTGCAAAACTGAAATGCTTTACTCATCAAACAAGTACTCATTTCCACCTCCTCCCAGTTCCTGAAAGTAATCATTCCACTTTATCTATGAATTTGACTACTTGCGGTACACCTCACATGGGTGAAATCATACAGTAAGTGAGTGACTTATTTCACTTAATATGATGCCCTTAAGATTCATCCATGCTGTAGTATGTCAGAATTTCCTTAACAATGAATAGTATCCTATTATATGTATGTAGCATATTTTACTTATCCATTCATCTGTTGATGGACATTAGGTTTACCTTTAATATTTTGGTTATTGTGAATAGCGTTATAAATATGCGTGCACAAATATCTCTGAAACTTTCCTTTTAATTCTCTGGGTATATACCCAGAAGTGTATACAATTTAATGGTTTTTAGTAAATTTGCAGCAGAGTTGTGCTACAATTATTACAGTTTTAGAACAACCATCACTCCTAAAAAAAACTCTACCCATAAGCAATCATCCCTCATCTATACCTCCCAAATTTATATCTCTAGCCTGTATCTCTCTCTACTTGGATATCTAATAGGTTAAAAAAAAAAAGTCAGCATGTCTTGAAAATGAACCCCTGAACTTTCCCTACAAAATCTACTTTTCCCAGAATACTCAACTCTCAAATTGAAATATCTAGTTGCTCAAACCAAAAATCTTAGAATCTCCCCTGCTTTTTTTTCCTTCTTTTTCTTTTCTTTTCTTATATGCTCTACATTTAATCAATCAATCCTCTTGGCCAAACCTTCAAAATATATCTAAAATTTAACCTCTTCTCATCACTTCATTTACCACCACCCTACTTCTGCCACTGTCATTCTCTTACTTCTGCTCATACTATCTACAATCTATTCCTCAACACAACAGCCACAGAGATCCTTCCTGAAGCAAGTCACATCATGTCATTTCTCTACTTCAAACCCTTGGCTCCCTACCTCACTCAGATTAAAAGCCAAAGTTCTTCCAATGGCCCAAAAGGCCTTATGTAATGTGGTTCACTTCTGTGTCCTCATCTCCTTCCAGCACCTTCCTTGTTCTGCCTGTTCCAGTCACACGGGTCTACTTGCTGCTTCTCTGAATACACCAGGTACCCTCCTATCTTTGCATTGGTTGTTCCCTCTGTCTGGAATGTTCTTTCCCCACAATTCAGTCCTCACCTCATTTAGATTTTAGTTTAAATATCATCTTATCAGTGAGAACTTCTTGACTGCTTTATTTAAATTTATAATGTGTCATATTTATCCTATGCACATATTACCCTTTTTGCCTGTTTTCTCTCCAAAGCTCTTAATAGCATATAATTTTATGCCGGATTCCACCACTTATGGTACTTTTTTCAACTTTAAAAATATTAAAATACAGAGCTGAGAAACATATTTTTCAAATAGAATCATACTGCACGTTAGGTAAGCTGACTCTCCCACCCCCCATTATAATTATCTTTCAATGCCAACCATTATTTTACTAAAAAAGTATCATGCTCTTTCTAAAACAGTTATAAACATTTTTCCCCCATTTAGACTGCTTTTACATTACCTTGCCGATTAACTTCATTTTGAAGTAGCTCTTCCATTGCCTCTTCCTCAGCAATATCCAACGGTGTGTCGCCTTCACTGTTAACAGCTCCTACGTGTGCTCCATGACCAATCAAAAACCTGTAAAATCAAAGGTAAGATGGTTAAGCAATGATGATATTGAAATAAGACTAAATGCATAACAATGAAGAAAACTACTTAAGAGCAGCCATAAAAATCAAGAATAGGGCCCTAGCCAGTGTGGCTCTGTTGGCTGGGCATCGTTCTGTGCACAGAAAGGCTGCTGGTTGGAGTCCTGGTCAGGGCATATGTCTGGATTGCAGGCTCAATCTCTGGTAAGGGGCATGCTAGAGGAAACTGAAAGATGTTTATCTATCTATCTATCTATCATTTCTAAAAATCAATAACAAATCTTAACACACCAAAAAGCCAAAAAACAGGCTCTGTATTAAATTCTAAAAAACTACAGTAAAGCATATACTTTTTTTTATATTTCCTAATTTTTCTATAATGTACGTACATTGTATAAAAAAACGATGATTAAAAAAAAAATCATTACCCGAGGATATTTTTATTGGTTTTAGAGAAGAAAGAAAAGAGAAAAGGAGAGACACTGATTGATTGCCTCCCATATGCACCCAGACCGGAGAGTAAACCTGCAAACGAGGCATGTGCCCTGATCACTGACCGGCCACCCTTTTGGTATATGGTCTGATGCTTCAACCAACTGAGCCACTGACCCAGGTCAAAAAATGCTGATTTTTAATAATAATTAGAAAGTCTTACATAGGATCATTTCAAACTGTCTCCACTAAGGTTTTTTATTATCTCCATATTGACTGGTTTCCTAACTGATCTCCATACTCCTAGTCTCTCGCCATAAGCAATAGTTCTTAACTTGGAGTCCATGGACAGAATTCAAAAGACCATTTCACTGACACAGATATCTTGAAATATTATTTATGCTCACCACTATTTTGAAATTAAAGTTTTTATTAGACCAACCATTAGGCCTTTTTATTTAATATGTTACTAAAGAAGCACATATATAACTATATCACAAGTGTTTGTAATACTTTGATAAATGAAATCCAATATAATTTTATTGGTGTTCACGGCAGTTTGTATTTATGCACCCAAAGCACAATCCTGAGGAAGTATCCACAGGCTTCATCAAACCTGCCAAAGGGATCCAGGTACAGAGGTTCTCAGTCGCGCTCATGTGTTAACTGCACATCTCCAGGAATCATCTACGTAACACTAGAGGCCCAATGCATGAAAATTCGTGCAAGAGTAGGCCTTCCTTTCCCTGGCTGTTGGCACCAGGCCGCCCACAGGCACCTGGGACCCGGGCTGGCTTCCCTCTGGCCCCAGCTTAGTCAGAAAGGACATCTGGAATGATGTCCAGAAGATATCCGGTCTAATTAGCATGTTACCCTTTTATTATTATAGAAGATAACCAGTGTCAATTCCCAACTAAAACATTTTTGAATGGTTGTTCCATCATTAGGAGAAACACACATGACCCTCATAATCCAGTTTATATTATTTTCAGCCTCATTCCTCTTCTTTCCTGTATCACACTTTAACTCCAACAATATGGAACTGCTTGTAGTTCCAGGTTAAACCATGCTCTTTTGGCATCCCAGAGTTCCTTTTCTATATGTAAAGAATGGGTAGTTTTTCCCTATGTCCCCAAACAACTCAACTTGTGTTTTTTCCAACTGACTACATAAAAAGTCCACAAACTTAAAAAGAAAAAGGAAAGATCTTCCTTAAACCTCTTCTTCTACTATCATGATCTCTTCCCAGAGAAAAACACTACTAATAGCCTGGCAAATATCTTTCCAGTACCTTTGCTCTGAATTTATAGGTGTGTGTATATAAACAAATATGCATAGTTACTTTGAGGCTCTTTTTGTAAAACAAAAATTAATGAGATTATTTTAAATGCACTGGAATTATTAATTAGTACCACCATCCCATTTATCACATCATATAAGTCAAGAACTTTAATGTAGCTTAAATACCTTTTTTACCCTCAATTCTTATATCCAGCTGATCTTCCAGTATCTCCTAGCTTTATCTCTGGAATTTATCCATTTCCTCTATCAAATTCAAGCTCCCAACATAATTGTTTTACACTACAACTATAGCTATTTAACTGCTCTGCCTACTCTCATTCTTTCTGATTTTTAATAATAATTAGAAAAAAAATTATAAAAATTTTTTATAAAAAATTAATTTATAAAATTAATTTATAAAATTTATAAAATTAATTTATAAAAAACACACACACACACAAAAAAATAATGAAAATAATAAAAAATGAAATACTTCATTGTACAGGGAGAAAAAAATGCTTCCCTTCTATAGCTGAAAATACAATGCTTCCCTTCTATAGCTGAAAATATTCTATTGTATGACTGGATGATACTTTTATTTGATAGCGTCCAGCTAATGGACATGTTTTAAAACTAACACTTGACATTAATCATCTTTTAAAATACCCTCAACATGATAGGCATGAATCATTTTATATTTGTTTTGACATATTTTCTGATAACACACGAGTTTGAAAGTATTTTAATATTTACTGACATTTGTATTTTCTCATTTTGCAAACTTCTTATGAACATCTTTTGCTTGTATTTCTTATGTGTTAATTCAACAAATACGTATCGGTTGTTGTTATGGACTCAATGTTTGTGTCCCTGCCAAAATTCAATGTGATGGTATTAGGTAATTAGGTTTAGATGAGGTCATGAAGGTGGAGCACTCAGGATGGGATTAGTTTCTTTATAGAAAAGAAAGACACTAGAGTTCACAACCTCTCTGCCAGAGGACACAGCAAGATGACAGCCATCTGCAAGGCAGGAAAAGAGCCCTCACAAGGGCCAGCATCTGGGACTCCATAGTCTCCCAAACTGGGAGACCCAAATACCTGCTGTTTAAGCTAACTAGTCTATGGTATTTTGATATAGCAGCCAAAGACAACCAAAGCAGGTGTCTAGAATGTATCTAGCACTACGTTACATGCCAGCAATTCAACTGTAAGCATAAACAAAAATGGACCCTCCTCTCAAAGAGCCTATAGGCACCCCAATAAATGTAAAATTGTAATAAGTCTTATGACAGAGAATTTTGTAGTTATCTAGCAGTGAATAAACATAATTTGATTTGGTGAGGTCCAAAAAGAATTCTCTGAAGAATATGTAGGTAAATATAAAGATAACTGAGTGTGTTCCAGGAACAGAAAATAAAAGGCATCAAAACTCTACAACAGGAAGTGTGTATGGTAGACAAGTGGCAGGTTCTTTTGACTGAGTAACTGAAATAAATGATCACTCTTTATATATTTCTGTCTCTGATACACACACACACACACACACACACACACACACACCCCAAAGTCAGTGATGTTTATTTTTGCTTACATGATCAGGTATGTATTAAAAAAGATCACTTGGTGCAGTATGAAAAATAAATTAGAATGGGGAACGAATGAGAGTAGGCAGAGCAGTTAAATAGCTATAGTTGTAGTGTAAAACAATTATGTTGGGAGCTTGAATTTGATAGAGGAAATGGATAAATTCCAGAGATAAAGCTAGGAGATACTGGAAGATCAGCTGGATATAAGAATTGAGGGTAAAAAAGGTATTTAAGCTACATTAAAGTTCTTGACTTATATGATGTGATAAATGGGATGGTGGTACTAATTAATAATATACAAAAACCTAAATTATTCCCTGCATCTGAATAATAGATGTGTTGCAAATATTTTTTTCCATATTGTCACTGCATTAAAAACTTTTCTTAAAGTATTTTGTATTTTACTAAATTTTAAAGGTCTTATGAAGTAAGGTTTGTCAATCTTTTGCTTTAAGAAGACATTTACCCATCTAGCTAGATGAATCTATGTGGAGATGTAACTTTTACAGACATGTACACAAACACGTACACACACAGAAAAACAAAGAAAAATGAAAGAATATACACTATACACAGACAATAGTGCAGTGAAGGCCTGGGCAGCAGGAGGCAGGGAGCTGGATTGTGGGGTGGAGAGGGAGAGGGTCAATGAGGAATTAAAGAGTATTAAGAATATACACTATAAAGTTTACAGGTCATCCATAAGAGATAGGATTAGAAGGGATCTGTGTTAATTGTGTTTTTATAGTAAGAAGAAATTTTTTGTAATCCAAGTTTTCTGCAGCAAGTGCATTTTGTATATCAGATCACAAAATAGCTGCCTTATCATTTTGTAGCTTGTTTTTTTATTTTTATTTTTTTATTGTCTAAAGTTTGTAGCTTGTTTTTAAACTTAATAATATGTTGTAAACATTTTTTTTTCTCCCTGTACAATGAAGTATTTCATTTTTTATTATTTTCATTATTTTTTTTTTGTGTGTGTGTGTGTGTGTGTGTGTGTTTTTGTTGTGTTTTTTTTTTAATAAATAAGTCATTCTTGAATTGAGGTAACTTTTTCTTTCAGTTTTGAAAAATGTAATATAAAACTAAAAAACATTTATATACTACATATAAATAGATGAATCTGGAGAGAAAAAAAAAGATGTGCTATGCTTCAAGAGAGTATGAAACTATTCTACTAAGCAAAACCTTGATCAAATAATTAGGAATATTTACACATAAAACCACTTCTATTTTGCTTATAGTATTAGAAATCATTCACCAGATATAAAGACTGAGTATAAAAGGAATACCTCAATGTAGCTGCAATGCTTGCAGAAGAGGAAGCTATATGGGAAGCAGAGTCTCAAGGACATACTAGGTCAAAGCCAAATACAGACAATCCAAAATTTATATAAACAGGAAGGATGTTATTTACAAGAGTAAAGTTCCAAAACTAGTGGCAAGGAAGTGGGGCCTGGCGCAATCCTTGAGCCAAAAATTTATATGTACACACACACACACACTTGGTATAGTTCACAAATCTCTTCTGCACTCCAGAACTAGTCTGCAAATGTAAACAAAAAAATAAAAGATATATCAATATACATAAAATCCCATTGTATTAATTCTTATCTCCCATGAATAATCTCAAAAGCTATTCAAATATTGGTTGGATGAAAAAAAACAGCATAAATGCCTAAGTTTAA